TGCACTAGCGAGGTGACCACCTGCAGCTGAAGCCAGTGCGCGCACACCGTATCCGACACACGCAGTTCGGGGGCATAACGATGTGAAGAACTGACACGAGCTGTGCAGACTCCTCTGCAAAAGAACGACCGCGAACGGCAGAAGGCTGAACTACTCACTGCAAGGCCGCTCCCGGGGCAAGGCCAGGCATCAGGCGTCGCCCAGTGTGCGGCTGTCGGCAGCGACCAACATCTGCCTGCCGGAGCCAGTGCGTGCGCATCATCACCGACACAAACAGTACGGGGGATCAGCGAAGCAAAGTACCGGCGAGCTGATGACCAGGGCTGCGCTGAAGCGGCGACCAATTGTAGCGTGCCGAACCAACCACTGCGGGGTCGAACTCATCCAAAGAGGTGGCTGAACTGAGATGGTGGGCATATTTTTTTGATCTGCGGCCCGCAAGGAAAAGTCCAGAGGGCGAATCAATCAGGCAAGCTGGGGCACAGTGCCACATAATTAAGCAACCAAGCAGGGGAGCGCAGGCCAGAACCGCGAGCATCTGCCGACGGCTGCTGCCCGCGCCGAGACCGGCCAGAGAGCACATGCAGAAGACCACTGGGCGAATGCCAGCGGAAGCCAACGAGGAGACGCCCTGACGGCGCCAGCTCGCGAGAGCTGCCACAAACTGTCGGCAGACTGCGCACAGGGCCAGTACCCACAGGTGGGGAAACCTGACCAGCGGCCTGTAAAGATTATCCCGGCAAAGCAACCGAACAGCGATGTGTAGAAGCATATCTGAAAGCATTCCCCTTAAGATTCAGATGAAAATCCAGTTGTAGAATTCTGTTGTTCTCGCAGTCGTAGTCGCATTCGCGATGACAGTCGCAGCGGCAACGGCAGTCGCAGTCACAGCCTCAGCCTCAGCCTGCCTCAGCCTCAGCCTCAGCCTGCCTCAGCCTCAGCCTGCCTCAGCCTCAGCCTCAGCCTGCTTCAGCCTCAGCCTCAGTCTGCCTTCAGCCTCGGCCTCAGCCTCAGCCTGCCTCAGCCTCAGCCTGCATCAGCCTCAGCCTCAGCCTCAGCCTGCCTCAGCCTCAGCCTCAGCCTCAGCCTGCCTCAGCCTCAGCCTCTGCTTCAGCCTCAGCCTCAGTCTGCCTTCAGCCTCGGCCTCAGCCTCAGCCTGCCTCAGCCTCAGCTTGCCTCGGCCGCAGCATCAGCCTGCCTCAGCATTCAAAATGTGGCCCAGGAATGGAGTTCTGGGAACTAGAAGAACACGAAGTGGCCTACAGTTGGCTCCGGGCATTCAAAATCATGCCCAGGAATGGAGTTCTGGGAACTTGAAGAGCACAAAGTGGCCTACAGTTGGCTCCGGGCCTTCAAAATCATACCCAGGAATGGAGTTCTGGGAAATCGAAGAGCACGAAGTGGCCTACAGTTGGCTCCGGGCATCCAAAATGTGGCCCGGGAATGGAGTTCTGGGAAGTCGAAGAGCACGAAGTGGCCTACATGTGGCTCCGGGCATCCAAAATGTGGCCCAGGAATGGAGTTCTGGGAGCACCAAGAGCGATTTTGCGAGGATGTCCGAAACGATTTCGGCTTCGGCGGCAGCCTGTCCGGGTCCCGCCCAGACCCCCCTGAGGAGTCATGATGCTCTCTTTTGAGACCACTAGAAAACTATCAGCAAGAGCTGTTAGGTAATTATCCCGGCAAAGTAACCTAACAGCGATGTGTAGGAGCATCTCTGGGTCGAACAGCATCTCGACGAAAAGGCAGCTCTCCCCCCCCCTCCTCCTCCTCCTCCTCGTCCTCCTCCTCCTCCTCCTCCTCTCCTCCTCCTCTTCCTCCTCCTCCTCCTCCTCCTCCTCCTCCTCCTCCCTCCTCCTCCTGGTAGTCCTCCCCCTCCCTCCTCCTCCTCCTCCTCCTCCTCCTCTTCCTGGTCGTCCTCCTCCTCCTGGTCGTCCTCCTCCTCCTGCTCGTCCTCCTCCTCCTCCTGCTCGTCCTTCTTCTCCTGCTCCTCCTGCTCCTCGTCCTGCTCCTGCTCGTCCTCGTCCTCCTGGTCTTGCTCGTCCTCCTCCTCGTCGTGCTCTTGCCCCTGCTGAAAATGTGGCCCAGGAATGGGAGTTCTGGGAAGTCGAAGAGCACGAAGTTGCCTACAGTTGGCTACGGGCATTCAAAATGTGGCCCGGGAATGGAGTTCTGGGAACTCGAAGAGCACGAAGTGGCCTACAGTTGGCTCCGGGCATTCAAAATGTGGCCCGGGAATGGAGTTCTGGGAACTCGAAGAGCACGAAGTGGCCTACAGTTGGCTCCGGGCATTCAAAATGTGGCCCGGGAATGGAGTTCTGGGACTCGAAGACCACGAAGTGGCCTACAGTTGGCTCCGGGCATTCAAAATGTGGCCCGGGAATGGAGTTCTGGGAAGTCGAAGAGCACGAAGTGGCCTACAGTTGGCTCCGGGCATTCAGAATGTGGCCCGGGAATGGAGTTCTGGGAGGTCGAAGAGCACGAAGTGTGTGACTGTTTGTTTAAAACGACTTCTGCGGCACCCTGTCCGGCACCCGCCCAGACCCCCCTGTGGAGTGATCTGTGAGCTCTTTTGAGTCAACTAGAAACCTATCAGTCTACGCTGTTAGGTAAAAAGCCCAGGAAGCGAGACAATTGCACAAACAGGAGCCGGGGCCAGAAAGTTAATGCCAAGCAGCTGGACGCGCAGGCCGATGCCACGCGCCAACAGCCCGACAGCTGGAACTCGCGCCGAGCTGTCCGGCCGAGGCACATGCAAAGAACCACTGAGCGATTGCCAGCGGAAGCTACGAGGAGTCGCCCTGAAGGCGCGAGCTCGCAGGCGGAACCGCCACTGACGCCGGGCACAGGGCCTGTACCCCTGCAGCCGCTAGGGAAGTAGCCCGGGAAGAAGCGAGAGGACAAGGCAGGAATAGAGCACAGAAGGCAGAGTGACGAGGCGGACTCATTCACAGAGCACCCTGTGCTCGTTGGTGGCCCTCCAAGGTTCACCCCACGGAAAACAGACGACACCTCCCAAGTGTCGGTGGGCCAACGAACTGGAAATGACGAATGAGGAAGAACTGCCGTTACGAGCACCGCATCCCATGACGCCGAACTTCGGGTAACGAAACCACTGATACCTCTGGAAGGAGCCTGAGGCCGTCACCAGAGAACCCAATGGTGGGCATACGCGAAGCGTCAAGAATTGTCCAATGGACTCGGGCAAGTTTCCTTGCATGGCATGGGAGAGGTCCCAGCGCCCGTCCTCTCATGCGGCTCCCCGTCCATTTCGGCACACCCCTGACACGTTTCGTGGCCCCACACGGGAGCTCCAACGAAGACGAGCTTTAGAACTGCGGTGCCCACAACAGCATATGGCTGGGCCCTTCGCCGGGATACTTGTTTTAGGTCCTGGCGGGTTTGCTTGCATGGAGGAAGGGATCGTGACGAGGCCAAAAAAAGAATCTGAACTTCACGCAAGCCAGAGCTCGCCTGCACGCTTGCTCTGCCCAGCGATGTTTAAAAAGGCGGCGCAAGAGAAAGGGGGGAAAGTGAGGCGAAATGCCATGCAAGTAAACTTGCCTGGGTCTAAAACAAAGCTCAACCCTCCCCTCGGGTCATGAAAAAATAGCGACGGGATTTGTTTATATTTTTTCAGCCTCTGGGGGCCCTCGCCGGGACCTGGGACCATCAAAACCACTCCCTGGTATGAAAAACAAGGTCCCTGGCACAGGTCCCACCTCTGGGGTTACACGTCGTGAAGAACAAATTGCATCGGGGGCCTGGGCAAATAACAACTCTCGACGGTCCGCGCGGATTTCTTGGATCGGTGCCGGAGCCCACTCCCTGGCGCGTTCCGCACATCGCGGACCCAAACGCCGATCCGAGAGATCCGCGCGGACTGTCGGAAGCTTATGTTCAGAACATGCTGTTATTTAGATTCTGGCTTGCACCGCAGTCCCACTCACCCACCCTCCGCAGTCCCTTCAAACAGGCCGAAAAAGCGTGCAAGCGAGTCCAGGCTTGCGTGAAGTTCAGACTCCTTTTGTTGGGCCTCGCTACGCCGCCCCCCGTACACTTGCGAGGGTCTAAATCAAGTATGCTGGCGAAGAACCCAGCCATATGTAGTTGTGGGTAGTCTTCGGTGGAGCTCCCTGTGGGGCCACGAAACGTGTGAAAGGTGTGCCGACATGGTCTTGCCGCAATGAGCGGGGAGCCGCATGCGAGTCCAGCCGCTGGGGCGGTAGGCGGAGCTCCCTATGGGGCCACTAAGCGTGTGAGCGGTTTGCCCAAATGGTCGCGGGGAGGGCAGAGGCAGAGATGAGCAGAGGGAGGAAGGCGAGAAGAAAGAGCGACGCGCGGCGCCGTCTCTTCAAAACGGGGACCCGACACCACAGGATGGTTGGGAACTGCTGAATTACCTCTTATCTGTGTCGCCGAGCTTCGCGCATCGTGACCCGCGATACGCGACGCGCGATTATCTTCGCACCCTCGCACCCTCGCGCCGACCCCTTGGACAAGGACCGCCGTTCTGGCCCAGACCGCGACGCGCGAAGCGCAATCATCTTCGCAAACCTGCGGGTAACCTCGCAACGCTTGAGCAGCACGTCGTTGTTGTTTTGGACACCGCTTGCGCTGGAAACGATGAAATGAACGAGAACGGCGCCATCCCAGAACCAACCCGGTTCGTTCCAACCTGTCGCCCACGAGAGCGAAAACAAAACGGCCGCGCGCTGGCGCCCAGAAAACAGAACGGGGAAACAACAACGGCATTCGAAAATACAAAACACTGTGTTTCTCGCGCCCCGTGACGTAGTTTACTCCAAGCTGCGCTATTCATTTGTCTTGTATCTGGTTTATGTCAGTCAGTGGGGTAACTTTCGACGAGACCACCGCCAAATCAAAAAGTGTAGAACATGCGGTTTTCGCGTGCGAGCGATGACTGGGCCAGCCCCTTGCCACATCTCCATAGCACACCGAAGGCACTTTAAAATTCACCAAAGCTGCCATGCCGTCCCTTATCGCTCGAGGGCCTCCGGCGCGAACCCGGCCGGCAGGCCGACGGGCACGCGCACGCCAGCAGCGCCCCTGCGCTCGGCGGCCGCGGGCGGCCGCGGCTCCGGCCGCGGCGGCGGGGCGCCGAAGCGCAGCGGGGGCGCCGAGGCCGCGGAGGCGGCCGCGGGTCGCTGGCGCGCGCGCGCCTCACGAGCTGAGCAGGGACCGACAGTCCTGGTATGCGTATAGCTCATAGTCCCACCCCGAAGCGCTCTTTGGAACCAACTCATGTTCAGAGAGCAGAAACAGCGGTCTTAGAACGCACATCCAACGTATTAAAACAAAACGGTCCCAGCCTGAAATGCTTTCAGAACATGTCGTGCAAACCACAAAAGGTTTTGAGAACATCTGTTGGTGGGCTCGTAGGCAAGCCAGGACGCTTGACCACTGGTTGAACGAGCGGCGAACGTATCCATACCTCGGGGAACGAACAATGGCATACACATACATTTACGAGGGTCCGCGCGGATTTCGTGGATCGGCAATCGGCCAGGCGGCGCCAGAGGCGCCGCTGGGGGGGCCCAGCGGCGATCCGAGTGATCCGCGCGAAGCTCGGAACATTTCTGTTTAGGCCATGTTTTCACCCCCGAATATCCACGCCCTCGCGCATCGGATTCCATGCAGAGCGCGATCCCGCGGACATGCGATCGCACGGATACGTTCAGCGCGGGGCAGCCCCAAACAAAACGCCCCGCATCCGCGGGGTCGCGGCCCAGAGGCCCAGCCCGCGAGGCCAGTCGGGAACTCTTGCTTAGCGTGTCGCCGCGGCGGCCCTGGCGACACGCTATGCCCCGCAAGCGGATAATGTATGGCTCCGCTCTGCGGAGCGGGAGGATAGGAAAGGCTCGAGAGGGTGGCGCTGGACGTGGACAGCGTGTCGCGCCGAAGCGCGGTGGGCCAGAATCAGCGGAGCCACACGCTGAGCCAAAGTTCCTGACCCAGGCCGCCCTTTAGGGTGCAGGTGGTTTAACGAGTTTTGTTTTCTCTCCCCCTCCTTCCCCTGCTCGGGGGAAGGGTTTTTATCATTGTTCCCTGTTAGCCCCCTCCCCCAACCGGACAGCAGCCAACCCGGAACCATGCACACACTATGAGGGCCCCCCTCCCCACCATCCCTGTCAAACAACCATACAAAACGCACTCTGCCTCTAAATTCTGAGCATGCGCAACCAACCCGATGCGAGCCCCCCCACCCCCCGCCATCCGTGTCAAAAAACAATACACAACACACTTTGGGGCAAAGTCTGGAGTCATGTTCGTGAGGCCCGCAGGCATTTTGTATTGTTTTTTTCGATAGGGACGGCAACGGAGTCAGTACATTGCCTGCTGCGCGCAGGGCGTCCATCCCTGACAAACACTCGATACAAAATGCACCTCGCGGCTAAATGTGGATAGTAAGCGGCCACCCCGCAATCATTGTCAAGTGTTTTTTGTCAGGGACGGCGGGGGTGGTGCCGTATGGCCTGCTGTGCGCAGGCCCACCGGACACAATGATGGGCATTGGTTTTCGACAGGGGTGCTGGGGGCCGACATGTTTCCCGATGTGTGCCGTCACGTGCGCAGGTGCACCTGACACACTCTGCACGTGCCCCGGACATGGCACACCTGGCGCGGCTGGAGGGAGCATCTGGCGCACTAGGCGTGCCTGGCACGCTCGGGCCCCAGGGGTGCCTGGCGCGCGTGGCGCGGCTGACACGCGTGGCACACCTCGCCCCAGCGTCGCGAAAATGGGCTCGGTTTTGGTTCCCAGTAGCTGTCCATCAAAAGGCGACCGCGGAACATGCTGAGGCTCAGGTGTTACGTATGTGTTGGGAGGGCGGGTGGCCCTGTGGCCCAAGACGGCCTTCAAGGTGGCTCACGATAGTTATCCGGGGATGGTTCAACATAGCCTCCTGCATACCTCCAAGAGGCTCCAAGACAGCCCCAAGACGGTTCCAAGTGCCCTCAGGGCCTTCCTAGGCACCCTCCAAGAGGCCAATTCTTCTTCTCGCTTTTTCGCTTCCGATGGACTTTCGAGGCCCCAAGATGGCCCCAAGAAGGCCCATGAGAGCCCCAAGAGGGGCCCAAGAAGGCCCCAAGAGCGCCCATGAGCGCCCCAAGAGCGGCCCAAGAGGGTCCCAATAAGCTATGTTTTAATATCCGAGGGTGGACGTGAATTAAGTACTCCCCCATTTTTTGAGCCATGAGACCCATGAGGCCTCCCAGATCCCTCCAACTAGTTCCAAGCGAGCCCCGAGACCCCCAACATGAACCCCGAGAGGGCCCCAAGAGTGCCCCAAGAGGTCTCACGAGGACCCCAAGACGGCCCCTAAGCTGGCATTAATCGTCCTTCAAGAACCTCTCACAACAACAGGTCTCCCAAACCCGACTTCTCATCATCCTTGTCATCGTCCGTTCCTTCCCTCCTTCCTGCCTCCTCCCTGCTCTTCCTCCTTCTTCTCCTCCTCCTCATCTTCCTCGTGCCGCATCCCTGTTTCTCCTCTTCTTTCCCCTTCTCATCCTTCGCTCTGTTTCCTCTTCCTCCTCCTTCTTCTCCTTTTGCGACCCCCAAGATGGTCCCAGGAGGTCTGGCTGTCGATAGGCTCCGACAGACCTCTTAGAGGCCTCAAGACAGCCTCAAGATGGCCCAATAAGAATGGCTCAGGAAAGCCTCCGACAGCCTCTAGGCGAGCTTGGCTCAAGATAGCCTTCAAGAGGCCTCAAGAATGCCTCCGATCGTGTCTGGATGGGCAGATCAGGATACTGTTTTGGTTCGCGGCTCCAAGGAGAAGCCCAGGGAGCGGGCACAACGTCCGTGGCGCGGTACGGCAGATCAGGATACGCGCAGCGCCAAGAGTTGTCTTACTAACACACGGTCTTTGTGAACAGCACCATGCTCTGCAGCACATTTGGCTCCAATCTGGAGGGCTGGCAACGGCCAATGTCCCCTCCTGAGGGGGGAGGAGCCTTCAGCGGGTGAGTCCGCGAAGCCCCGGAAAGAGACCGTGCGATTTCTTCGCCCACGAGCGCCGGCGGGCTCGCGCTGCCGGCGCCGCCGGCGAAGAGCGGCCGGGACTCGACGCGGCCCGCGGGGGCGGGCCCGTCCGCCCCGGGCTGCGGCGCGGCGCGCTGGTCGCCCTGGCGCCACGCGTGGAGCCGCTGGTGCGGCGCGCTCGGGTCCGGGCGCTGGTACGCCTGCAGCCACGCCGCTGGGAGGAGGGCAGCCTTCCCCAGCGATTTTCTTCCTCCTTCTGGGGCCACCAGCCCACGGTCTCATTCTGAGCCCGTTCGGCGTCTGAGAGCCTGTTCGGCCGCCCTGTGGGCAGCCGAGCGGGCCCAGTTCCAACAGCGTAGAGGGCATTGGGCCCATTCCGTCGCCGAATGGGTTCACTCGTGGGTCCATTCGGCGGCCGAATGGGCTCAGACGCCGAACGGGCACAGAAGGTAACCCTGGGGTATGAGGGCTGCCGGCTCCACGGCTGGATCCGCCTCGAGAATCTGGGCAGTATGGACCCCGTAGGGGGGGGGGGGGATTTTGAGCGGATCTGGAACGGGCAGGACACAGGCCGTTGTCTCGACTGGCCTTCCTCCGAGCCGCGTCTTCTGGCCGCGGCATGCTTCTGCTGCTCGAGGCCGGCTGGTGGCAGCGGTCGGAGCAGGGGGCTCTGGCGCCGCTCCTCGAGGCCTGGCGAACGGGGTCCGAGCAGAAGGGGTCGGAGGATCACGCCGCATCGCCGATGCATCGCCGACGCATCGGCGATGCATAGGCAACGTCGGCGTGGAGAGAAGCCGCCTCCACATCGCGCATCGCCGACGCATCGGCGATATGGCGCGATCCTCCGACCATCTGCTCGGAAGCACCTTCAGGAGGCCTGGAGCTCCGCACGTCGGGGGGGGCGTGCACGCGCACGGCGAAGGTCTGGGGGCCCTGGAGCTTCGCCCGCTGCGGCTCCCGGCCACCCGCGGGTTGCCCCTCGCAAGCCTCGGCCGTGCTCGCCGCGGCCTCCAGCTGCGGCTCCGCGGCCGCCTCGCTCGCGGGGGGAGGCAGCACCTCGCCCTGCTCCCGCGCCGTAGGCCCCAGGTCCGCCACGGCCTCCTGTCGTTGAGGGCGTGACGACTGCTGCTGTCCCTCTGCAGAAGTCGTCAAGCCTGGCTTGCTCTGCAGAAGTCGTCAGGCCTTCTTGTGAAGTTTCCACGATCTGCCGCAGGTTTTCCTTGGAGATCACTGCATATGCCTCGACTTGTCTGGAATCGTTTAGATTTAGATCGACTCACCTCGATCTATCTGGCACGCTCCCCGCAAATCGATTGGATAATGGTCGTCAGGCCCTGAGGGATCCTGTATCCGGAGACACTGAGCCTCCACGCTGCGCACGGCCTCGTCGCGGGAGCGGACCTCCTCGGCCAGCCTCTCCGTGAGGACCTGCACGCACGCCCGGAGCTCCTCCAGCGCGCCCTCGTGACACCAGACTGGCCTGGAGCCCCGCAGCGGCCGACGCTACCGCCACCGCCGCCACCGCCACCGCCGACGTTGCTGTCGTCACTGCCGCCGTTGCTGTCCTCACCACTGCCGCCGTCGCTGTCCTCACAACCGCCGCCGCCGCCGCCACAACCGCCGCCGCCGCCGCCGTCGTCGTCGTCGTCGTCGTCGTCGTCGTCGTTGTCATCGTCATCGCCGCCGCCGCCGCAGCCGCCGTTGTCGCCGTCGCCGCCGCCGCCGTCACCATCGTTGTCGTCACCGCCGCCGCCGTTGTCGCCGTCGCCGCCGCCGCCGACGCCGCCGTCGGGGCGAGAGCTCCCCGCCTCTCGTGCTGCTCGGGGGGCCGTGGCTCGGCGCGCGCCGCTGGCGCGGAGGCCTGCGCGAGGGCTTGCCCGCCCTGGCAGGGGGGCGACGCAGCGGCTCGCGGCTCTCTTGGCCGTGCTGCCGCGGCGGCGCCCCCCAGAGCTGTTCCCTCCCTCCTCCCCTCTTCCACTCCCTCCTCCTCCTCCTCCTCCTCCTCCTCCTTTCTTTCTTTCGATCGCATGCCGCCACCGGTCCGACCGGCGCGGGTTTCTCCAGGCAGACTGGGAGAAACTTGTTTGAAAAGATAGTATAAACCTGACCCGACGGTCTGCCAACGACTCAGCGAGCCCCGAAGCCCGCCACGGCAGGGCTGAAGGGGTTGTCGCTGGACGCCCGTCGGGGGCGCGCTCCTCGTCCTCCTCCTCCTCCTCCTCCTCCTCCTCCTCCTCCTCCTCCTCCCCCATCCCTGCTGCAGTGATCGCTCTGACATGCAACAGTTGCAAGCTGGTTGCAACCCACCTGCAACGTGCTTGCGAGTGGGTTGCAAGTCAGCCTGGCTGCTCCAAAGTGGGTCCGCGACTTACTCAGACTTACAGCCGTTAGGCGGACTTGCAAACCACGTGCAGAAATCGGTGGGGCTGGCAGGGCGTTTCGCCTGAGACTTCCTCACCATTTGTGATCCTGAAGCCTGAAATTGCAGCAGCTTCCAGGAAGGAGGGTGTGCCGCTTTCCATGTGGCTCTCGCCTTACCGCCGCGAGCACTCATTTTAAACATGCGAAGCCGTCTCTGGGAATGGAAGACACGTCGTTTTCAATATGCGGCTCTTGCCTTGGCGCTGCGCACATTGGCCCTGAAAGTTTTCAGCGGTCGCAATGATGAAGGGCGGACAGTTTAAACAATGTTGTTCTCGCCACAGCACCACGAGCATGCGTCTTAGAAGCTTGCAACAACTTCAAGGATAGAGCGCGATTCCTTTTCGAAAGGTGGCTCTTGCTTCAGCGCCGCGCACACTGGTCTTAAGAGTTCGCAGAAGTCTTAAGGATTCGTAGGGTTGCAGACCTACAACTGAAGCTCTGATGCGAATCAAACTGTCAGGACGCAACAGTCACTTTGACCCGCGGTGTTGACGTCTGCGGATGGCTGTCTGGCCAAGTTTGTAATTATCATGACGTAACAGTTACATTACTTGGCAGCGTTGAGGTCCAAGGAACTGCGTTGGCAGAACTTAAGATTATCAGACGGTTGTCTTTCAGTGGGGCACTTCCCGCAATGAAGAGAGATCCTATAGTGATTTGCGACGAGGGAACTTCGAGGGATTGTTCATTGCAACATAGCTCATGCCTCCTCGTTCCTCCTTGCCCCTCTCCCCGTCCTCCTCTCCCTCGCCCTTCCTCCTTCCTCCACCCCTCCTCGCTCCACCCCTCTACCTCCTCGACGGCACGGAGCACTCTCTCTGGTTGCCGGTAGAGCTTGGAGCACTCCTACTCGTCTCACCGCCAGACATGTCGGTAGGGCGTACCTGGCGCTTCACCTGGTACTTCCTCACCGATTGCTATCCTGAGGCCAGAATTTTCCCACCTTTACGTTCCTGGAGGCCGCAAATTTTCAATCTGGGGATCTCGCCGCGCTGCCGCGCGCAATCTGTCTGAGCAATATCCAGCGGATTGATTTGCGGAAGGGGCCGTGTCGTTCTCAAACTGTGGTTCCGCCTCATGGTCGCAAAACCTTCTAGCAATTACATGGATGGAGAGCGGTTTCTCTTCAGCATGGGACTCTTGCTTGAGATCTCTTCGGAATTATTGGCACGAGAGCTACCATTTGTGCAACAGTTGCTCAGGTGGAGGGTGACTCCATTCCAAAATGGGGCTCTCGCTTGAATCTTCTTTGATTTGATTGCCAGAACTGAACAACTGCGCAACGAGAACGAAGATGGATTTCAATTGCTCTTCAAAGCGGGTCCCTGGCTTGACACCTCCCTTATGTTTATAGCCTTCCCTCTCCGCATTCCTTTTAGCTAATAGAATGGGGGTGCCTCCTTGTCAAAGCGGGGGGTATCGCCCGAATGGCGGGCACATGGGGCGCTCGTCTTTCAATCGGGCGCTCCCTGTAGTAACAAGGGCTGGTTGGACTCGTGCGCGGGGGGCTTGGGGAGGGAGGAGGGTATAGGAAGGGTGTATTCCCTGACCTCCAAAGTCATGCTGTTGGTCGACAAGGTCGACCCCTGGAGGTCTCGACCTTCTCCACGGGACCGGTTTTTCATCCCAGGCAACTTTCAGGCGGTCCCGGGGCCCAGTAAGGGCCACCCTGGGCCGAATGATAGCAAAACCGTTCGTTGTATACTGTGTTCTCAGCGAGGAGTCTTGGGTTGCAGCATCAGTGAAGCATCCTCGGCTTAGCTTCGTACCTTTTACACGCTGCCCATGCTCCGGCCAGTGGGGGCCGCAGCGTCAAGAAAACGATTACAAAGCCGACTGAGGGGAGGTAGCTGAGCTCCGAGCGTCAAACGGAAATGAAACGAACCGCAAGTATGCAGGCGTGCCCAGCTGCGAGCAACCAGCCAGCGGCCGCTATGGCAGCCCAGGACGACGCTAGTGGCAGCGAGGACGAGGATGACGAAGGCGGAGGCGAGGGCGCCGACGACAGCGGTGGCAATTGCGGCAACAGCGCACGCGGCAACGACACAAACGACGGCGACGAGCACGACGAGGAAGACGAGGGCGCCGACGACGACGGCGGCGACGACGACGCCGCCGCCGGCAACGGGGAAGACGAGGGCGCCAAGAACGGCGGCGGCGACAGGGACGCCTCTGAGGGCGGCGGCGCCGCCGCCGGGCCGTCCCCAGCGAGGTCGGCCAGCCGCGCCCGAAGCGCGCCCAATTGGCCAGCCTCGGTCGCAAGCCAGGCCGACTCCCAGGCATCCCGCCGACGCCGCTGACGACGCCGACGACGACGAGGACCCCTGAGATCCTGGAGTCGCAATTTGTGCGTCACGGGCGACCCCACTTGTTTCGGACACCAGGACCCCCACTTGCAGATCTGGCTCGATAAACGCCATACAAAGATTGGGTCCAGGTCTGAAGCTCTGGTTGAATTGTTCAGCGATGAATGTTTCTAATGGGTCTGGCGATGACCCGAGTCATCGGGCTCGGCCCCCCCCCCACCCGCCTGGGATAACCTCACCATCTCGGTTGAGCGGGTCGAGACTTGTCCGTGGGTATTCCCAGACGGCGCCCGCATCGTCGCAGCACCAACCGTAGCATCGTCGCAGCAACGTTAGCAGCTGCTGTCACTGTGTGGGCCGCAGCACGGGTGCGCTCGGGGCTGCCCACAGCGCGAATATTCGGTCATCGGCTGGCCCCTTCCCTTCCAGATAACCCTCGGGTTATCGCAGATCCAAAAAACAACTGTCTCCTGCAGTCGCAACATCGGATTTCAGGAAAAGACGAGGAAGACGATGAGAACAGTCCTGGCGGCGAGGACGAGGACGAAGGGCGAGGACGACGAGGACGTGGACAACAACGAGGACGAGGGTGAGGACGAGGGCGAAGGACGACGAGGACGAGGACGAGAGCGATGCTGGCGGCGAGGGCGAGGACGAAGGGCGGCCAGTCTATCGCCAAAGTTAGTCTCAACAGGCCGGTTGAAGGCCTCCGAGCCAACGAAAACGGCTCGAAACGGCTCAGGGATCTAACCCTCGGGGGGGGGCAGCTGTAAAGGAAATGCGTCGTCGGTCTCGGTCTGAGTGCCCCAAGTCCCGAGCGAGGGCTTTGGGCGGTAGCGCGTGATATTTGCACCGGGTACACCACTGCAACATCGTTGCAACACTATCGCTGCTACTGACATTAACACTGATGTCAGCATCATTTGCATCATCGGGGCTACACAACGACTCGCCAACGTCACTATCGTCATCACGAACATCTTGACACTCGTCACACTTACCCAGGAAATTCACGAATTATCACCGGCTAGCTCTTCGAGGGCGGGAGTCCCTTTGTATTTTGCGGGCTCCTGCGACTGCGACTGCGGGTCGGAATAGGGGTGGGTTTGGCTTCAGAACAAAAACAGCCCGGCTGGCTTCGCTGGAGTTCCACAAACTCCGGCCAAACATAAGCGCAGATGCGGCGGACCACACGTGTTTGGAAGAGCTTCTAGAGCCACAACAACGAATCGAAAGGATTGCAAGTGCGTTAAAAGCGGTCGAACCAGATGGGTTGCACATCACGGCCAGCATCCACCGGCTCACTTGTGGGCGCAGGGGTGTGAAGCTTCATGCTGGACTTCTGTCTTGTTCTCTGTGCTGTGCTGTCTTTTGATGTTTGTTCTTGTCTATATTCATTATACTGTCGAGCACAAGTGAGTGAACTTCCCCCAGACAGCGTTTGCACTCAACACTCAAGGTTTCTTGCTTAGGACCTGGGCCTGGCTGCCAGTCTGGCGGCGCCGTGGTCGATCGCCGCCCCGTCGCCGCCTTGTCGCCGCCCGTCGTCTGGGCCTGGTTGCCGGTCTGGCGGCTCCGTGGTCGCCGTCGCCGCCCCGTCGCCGCCTCGTCGAGGGAAGGGCACGCGCCTTCTAGAACTTTACTCAGGCGTTCCTTGTAGATTGTTCCGATGGGCGGTTCCCCGTAGAACTTTCCTCAGGCGGCTCCGTCTAGACCATTCCTCAGGCGGCCCCTGCTAAAAATTTACTCAGCAACCCCTCCCCCAACTCGCCCGTGGGAGCTCCTGACCGTGCCTGGGCGCGCTCGCCCCCGTGCACCTTGCTTGAGGGTCAGACCTCGGTCATGCGTTGATTCAGTCACGCTTCCAGTCCAGCCAAATCGTACAAACTTTACCAGTCAATTAGGAGCCCAAGCAATGCCAAGGGGGATCACCACTTGGCGGGTCGCCAGCTTCTCTGGGAACCCGTGTGGACCGAGCCCCCCTACCTCCGCAAAGCAACCCCCCAAACTCAGCAGAATCATCCCGACACCTCCTCGACGCTCGCTCTTCGATCCTCGAATCTCCACAGGCGAACTAAACAGCGCCATATCCTCGATCCTCGAATCCCGATCCTCAGCCCTCGCCCTCGTCGCCGCCGCCGCCGTCGCCGCGCAACTGGGCGGCGGCCGCCCCCCCTCTCGCGGCCTGCGCCTCCACGGCCCCCTCGAGCTCCACGAGGCGCCGCTCGGCTGCGGCGCCCTCGCCCACGGCGTCCCAGAGCGCGTCCACGCGCCTCTCCAGCTCGCGGTTGAGCCCCTCGGCGTGGGCGCAGATCTCCTTCCAGGCATGCTTGCGTCGGTCGAAATCCACGACGGCAGGTTTCTGATCGTTTTCGGCCTCTGGGGCCCTCGCGGGGCCTGGGACCGTCAAGTACGACTCGGGATGAAAACTGGCCCTGGGGAACTGGTCTGTTCCCCGTCTGCTTTCGGATGAAACCCCATCGAGATCACGGCAGCCCTCCCTGACGTTAGTCCTCGTTTCTGTGCATCCTGGAAGCTTCTCGTCGCCACGGCTGGGCCCGCCGCCAGAAACGGGTCCCGCTGGAAAATTTGGGGCCGGGCGGCGTGGGCGCAGATCTCCTCCCCACCCAGATTTCAAGCGATATGTACTGTTTCACTTCGTGCGCTCTTCCTCGGCTTCGGCCTCTGTGGCACACCAAAAACTGACCCGGGGCGACAAATTGCCTGCGACGAAAGGGTCGGGACCTCACGGGGCCGCGTAGTGACAAACGCTGCATCGTCTGAAGTCCTGATCTGCCAGGACTCGCTGGTCATGGGCTCTGACGGGGGGCATGGCGACCCGAACATTCCAGACTTCGTGAGCTTTCGGTACTGAATGGATTATCGGATGGATATCCTGGGCGCGTCCGAATCCTTTCCCGGAATTGCATCCCCGAAATCCCCCCACCCTCTCTCTAAACGGCCTGAATTTTGGAAAGCGCCTTTTTCTGCGATAGCGGCCGTTACCGGCCCCGCCCCCGTCCCCAGGTAACGTCCCGATTCGTACTGGCGCCCAAAGTGTCTTACATCATTCCTCCACATTCCCAAACGGTTCCCGGCGCGAAGCTTGACGTTACCGCCCCCCTCCTCGTTATCGCTCGGGGAAACAAGCGCGCCTTCTTGCCGGAGAGATCTCGCGGATTCAGGGCGAAAAGTCGCCCGCGAGGGAGCGGGTCCTCTGGAGGCTCTCCACCGCTTTCCGGCCCCCGGGGCCCCTCCACGGGCCCCGGGGCCGTGACGAAGAGCTGGCCAGTCCGACGCGACATGTTCAGACGTCTCTCCTGAGCCGCTTGGCGCGAAAAGCTGTTGTGACCCAGCGCTTGGATTTGTCGCATAGCACAAAAACTGGATGCTGATGCGGCTCTTTCCCTGCTCACTCCCCTTCCCGCTACTCCTCTTTTTACTGCTTGTGATGCTGTCGCAGCTGCTGCTGCCCCGTCGGGATTCTGGATGCCATTAGCAAGGCCTCGACCCCGATATCTGGAATTGTTGGGAAGGACTGGAGTTTGTCGCGCGATTGTCTCTGAGGCCAAGGAGCTCAAAGACGGCCCGCGAGGGGTCAGGGGCGCTCAAGGCTGCCCAAGATGTCCTCAGGACGGCCCTGGAGCCTAGAAGTCTCTAAGTCGCTCCAGGCGGGCTAGAATTCCCAAGAGACCTGTGTGAATGGGAGGCGTAATAATGAGAAATGGCTAGGCGAACGCAAGCCAAAACCGATTCAAATATGCGCCCGAAGCACCTCAAGAGGCCATCAAAGGGCCCCCCAAGGCTTCCCAGGAAGCCCAAGTGCTCACTCAAAAACTCCATCGGGGCAGCGAGCTGGTCCGAAAAACATGTTATGGACTCGAAGGTGGCTTTGCACGAGCCCTCGCGGACAGCTACAGCATCCCCTTCAGCTATTGTAGCCGCGGGGGCTGAGCTGGTGACCTCCTTTCTTCGCGCACAACACTACTTTGTTTGCGACCCCTCTGGGGCTCTCTGGGGGGCCTCTTGGGCCGCCTTGGACGCCTCCAGGCGGTGTCCTGGGCCGTCCTAGACCGCCCCCAAAATTTCAAAATCGCCCCAGGAGAACCCCGAAAACAAAAAACACAACAGGGCACCAACACGGCCACATATGGCCTCGAGGCGGCCGACGAAGCCCCCGAGGCGCCTCCAGAGGGCTTCAAGGGAACGCCCAAGAGGCCCTCAACATGCACAACTTGCTGCTTTCCACTACGTTTTTGAGAAGTGTTAACGTGATAGCTGTTTTTCCTGTGTTTTTTTGTGTGATTTTTTGGGGGGCGCCCCCAGTTGCTTGCCCCAGCTTCGACTGTTTCTTGCCAGCGCTGAGCTGGGCCCCAAAAGGTGTCATCTCCGATGTCGGGGGGCTACCGGCGGCCGCGCGCACGAGACTGCGAACGGCCGCGAATTACCTCCAGCCCCTGGCCAGACAACAGTTGCTGCCGAGCCACTCCGTTGAAACGAGAGGAGGAAAAGGGGGAGGGGAAGCGTCGCACAACACCATGCACCCGCTATGCTTGGGCAACAAACTTGTGGCGACGCGTGTGCACCCGTAAACGGGTTTCAACGCGTTGGTCGGGCGTGCCGTGGATTCCCCGCCTGCGGGCTGAATGCAGTGCAAGGAAGGCATCTATACACGATGCATAAAAGACGTTGGCGACAACTGACTTTGGGGCGAGAAGGAGGGCGGAGGAGAGCCAGGGAACACCCTCAGGAAAAGAAGACGACGGAGGCAAGAGACAACCAAGCCATTTAGATAATAGAGAATACAGACAAGGACATCTGGCGTAGTGGCCGATATCGTGGAGGTCGTTCGCACCTGCGGCGGACAAACTAAGGCGCACCCTTGAGGACAATAATGAAACCGAGCCGAAGTGTATGCACGCCGAAAGATTTTTCTGAACAGCGCCACCAGATAGTAAGGCTGGGCTTTCTGCGGGACCAAAGCCGAGTTCATGCAGAACCTCTCAATGTGAGCCCAAGGGGAACTCAGGCGCCGAAGAAGAATATGTCTGGGGCCTTCTCGGGGAGCATGTGGGTCCCACAGGGACCTATACAGAGCAATTTGAACTGTTTCGTGGTCTTCTGGAAGACCGCAAGGCCCCGAGAGGTATGAGTTGAACATGATGCGCATATATTGCAAGAACGAACAGTGCCACCAGCCTGTATCCTTGCGAACAACTATACATTCAGGATCATCAGCGAGCGAGTCTAGGTTCTCAAGGATAGCGCCAAAGTCAGGACGCTTTACAGTCTATCTCGTACAGGTGGCATTGGCGATGGTGACCATGTCTGGGAACGAAAGCGGCACATGGATGTTACTCAGTTGGTTGGGCGACATAACATTGCGAGGGGCGGCGGTAAGATGCATCGCAGCTGCGCGATAATGGTGAATCGGACGAGATATATTCGGATGAACTTGCATCACAGAGGACAGACCATACACACATCAACTTGAACGAAATGATCGAGCATGTGAGACCGAGGCAGAGAATGCGCGTGACAATCACAAGCTGACGAATCTTAGTCAGGGCAGCGTCGTACGCAACATTGTCAGTGCCCCGACCTATAGAATGCCGAGGTAATTCACAGCCGTCGAAGCCTGGATCAGCGTGAGGTCCCCACGCAGGCTAGCAATGGAGTCCTTGAGTTACTGGAGGTCCATGTAGCCCGAGACACACAACTGGCACTTGCGGAAGTTGAGGCGAGGGCCAGCAATTTTTCTGAACCGCCCAATCGCGGCGACGATGGGCCCCAGGGAAGATGCGACACTGCAGAGCCCGAAACAGAAGTAGTCGGCATGCGCGAACGTCCTGTCATGTTGGGATTGCCTATACATGAGCCAGCGCAGGAGCGGGTCAGCTGCCAGAACACATGGCATCACACTGCTTGGGCAACCTTGCTTGACTCCAGACTGCACGCAATAGTTCACCGAACTTGCGGCCGCCAGAGAGGACGACTGCGATAAGGTCTCGGCAAAAGATATTGGAGAAGGTGACAGTGGCAGGCGCCATATTCATGCGGGGCAGCACGCGCGGCAACTGCGGTATAGCTAGCGACGGAAACGCTGGACAAAAGCCCGTGAGAAACAAGCATGCGTTCACCATGCCCAGGATAAGTTGCTCTAGAACCCATGCTTCCGCTTCAGTAATGTTGGATATCAGGTTCCGCCCTTGCGCGCAGTTTTGGGCAAGGGCGCTGCAACTCTGCGCATTCTCGCTTATCGGGATAGTCATGCGGAGAAAACATCTACACACGACCACCTTGTTCTGCGAAAAATGAAACTAATTTGTTTTGTCTGATCCTGGGCGTCACATGCAGGCTCGCCAGAACCGCAGTGACCCCGCGACACCCGCTGGGGGGAAAAAGAAATCCGGCGCACGGTGTATATGGTTTCCTGTGGTTTGTTGTCGTATACGCCATAGCCCTTTTGTGGTGTATATGCAATCCTCGTTGCTGTTTGTTGAACGGTATACACCATAGGTTTCGGATTTGTTTTCCAGCAGCCCCCCCCCCCCCCCCCTGCGTAGTAAGAAGCCTGTGCGGGCGCGCAGGCCTGTGCGTTAGTAACAGAGACCTGGATTCCATTTGCAATGAATTTACCCCGGCACGGTGGTGGTGCATGGGAACATTCTACGGAAGTCATCGCACCTGCAAGAAGCTCAATGTCCGTGTTAGGCATGCTGAGAGTGCGTGCATGTTGAGGCCCACGGGTGACCGACGACGACGTATCCTCCTCCTCCACGCCCCTGGGTAAGATGACCATCAGGCTCCTGCGCATGGCCATCGGGCGTTCCGAAACTCCCTGAGAGAACAGCAGCAAACACACGCGGCGCAGCGCACGAGAAAAATCAGGAACGCGCCGCGCACAGTATGGGGCCCCATCTTTCCCAGCCATGCTATGTGACCTGGAACGATTAAAGTCAACCCATTCCCCGTGCGACAGCATCCAGGAGGGATGAAGAGGCCCAGGAGCCTGCTGGATAAACGGACCAATCTCATCCCACGGCGAGGAGTCCAGGGACGGGGGCGAAAATACCTGGGACCAATGCTGCTTCGAGACCTCGGCAGAGCTGTCGTCAGATAGGCAGGGGTGACCGTGCTCATCGTATACACATGTGAAATTGGTCCTGCTGCGAAATCTCGCCAGGTCCCCTGGTTGCGCTGAATCTTTTCTCTCTGACCACGTTTGACCTCGGGGGGGGGGGGGGCGGGCGGGGAGGGCGGGGGGGGGTCGGATAGCTCGAGTCCGCGTTCCTGGCCCGAGAGAAGTATCTGGTTTGAGCGCATCGGCGCAGACAGGCCCGGTAGGTTCACGCGCTGGGAGGTCGTCAAGTTAAAATGGCGCTGCAGGGCAGGATAGCAACGGAGTGCACGGACAATTAGCCACTCACGGCCAAGGCGCCACCCGCGGAGAGCTTGAAGGGCCCAGTGATGTTTCTCCTCTAAAGATGAAGCAAGTTTGTGTTTGAGAAAGGGTCCCGACATTTATCAGCAGCCGTGAACATGGCCTCCTTGACTGTTCCAAGACGGGGCAGGGCCTCGAGGTCCGTGGGGGTCTCCGAAATGGCAGCGTCCAGAAACGTACCGAACTCCTCGCGACGGGCAATCCACCTAGGCACAGAAGGGGAGGAGGTGTCTGCCTGGCATGGCTCAATACTCAACAAGAGGGGTGTGTGGTCGCTCGGCGTCTTGGCCGCAAGCATGCCAATCTGTCCAGGCCGAACCTTAAAATCTCGAAGTACCGCCAGCGGCATTGACGAGAACGCACGGTCAAGACGGGCAGTGCGTGCTACAACCCCAGCGCGAACTTCCCGCCGTGCGTCCTGCTCTCGACGCAACTCAACGGCCCGAGAAAAAAGGACGACGGAATAAACGAATGTGCGTCCTATCTCCAGAAGGCCAACCCGAACCGTCACCCTGCAACCTGCCTCCTCCTCCATCGCACAGTTGAACTCCCGTTCGACATTCCGTGGTTGGCAGGCAACGACGCGTAGGAACGCTTGACCACGTGCAAAGTTCTAGCATAGATCGAGGGGGCGTCGCTGGCATTGGGGCGGGGGGGATTTAAGAGTATGTGGCGTGCGCTGTTGTCTCGCGTCGAAGCGTTTTTTTTTCCTGCGCGGCATATCGTGGCGCGAGCTTGCTCGCGCGCGCGGTTGCGGCGCGCGCATTCGGAAATGTCAGGTCGAGCAGTAGTGGCCGTATGTGTACTCATGTAATTACCACTATAATACTAAGGTCATGCTCGTGCGTTTGCTCATTGTCCAACGCCTCCTCCTGACCTTACGCGTGCAGCAGCGTCGTATGCTGATTTCTACTAGGTGATTTGCTGATGCTACTTCTGCTCCAGATGTGCGACGAATCCGCGGCGCCGCTGGCGTCTGTCCGCGCGCGTCGTTTTCGCGCCGAGACCCCGCCGCCAACGCGCCCCCCCCACAGACTGCTGCGTGCACGGAGCCAGCAAATTACTGCATGAGTACAGGGGCAAGCCAGTGCCCATTAACAGATTCCTAGAATGACACAGACCTACTCTGCTTACTGATCCGTCAGCCGAAGCGCATGTCGCTCGGGCGGGATATGGCGGCGTCCACGCCGTTGTGGAAGTTGCCGCAACGGATGTACATCGCGTCCAGCATCGAGTCCTGCTCTACGCGGGGGCCGTTTTTGTTCCGTGTTCCAGCTCAGCGTTTGCTTTGTGTTTTGGGCACCGTTTCTGGCACGTGCTCAACCTGGGGGTTGGCCTGTCGCCCACCTGCTCGTTTGATTCCTGTTTCCGAGACGTGTTTATTGTGCTTGTTATATCACAATGCCGCCTGGCTGTTTTGACACACAATCGTTACAGATATGTATAAAATGTGTAAATACACAAAGTAGTACTGTTTTCGCAGTTTTCGGTTTTCAGCGTTTCTAACGCGTTTCCCATATGATCCAACGCACGCGCAAACTCTGCGGGAAACTGTTTTCTCTCGCGCGAGTTGCTTTTCACACGCGAATTTTGTTTCCGCGCACATCGACCGTCGACCGATCCCAATGCAACTAACGCTGTCGTTGCGACTCCCCCGCAACCGCGCCCCACGCAGGTAACTAGCTGCTTTTGCACTAAGCCGACAGATTTTTTGCCCCCGTACAAGGGCAAGCCGGTGCCTACTAACAGCTTCCTGTATTCACGCAAGCAAAATTCTAGGTCGTGGTAGCTCAGTTCCTTAACCCGAACATGCAATAGTATATTGGACAGCCACGGGTCTGAGTTCAGAAAGTCCGTCAGCTCCTCGATGTATGAAATATACTGAGACTGTTTTTTTGTTGCTGACGATACTGTGCTGTCCTCCCAAACGTCCCCGTCCGGTGAGAGTGCCCAGTGCACGTGTGAGTCGACCAGCTCGCCACCCTCTTTTCGCCGAGACGGCCGCACGACGACTCTCTCGTGGTCCACTGAGTCGCCGACGTAGCTCACTCGAGCGCGCGCCCCGCGGGGCAGGTCAGCGCACCTTTCCTCCCCCGCGGGCAACGGGGGCAGCACTGCCCGGCGCCCGCGCCGGTCCGTCATGTCGCCGAAGGTCGGGACGACGCACGGCGCAGCTGCAGCAGCGGTCTACCAGCCAGAGCCACACCGGCGAGACCAGCCCCACGATCACGTGCGCGGCCAGCGCCCCAAACCCCCTGTCCTCCAGCAGTTCTGGGCAGACACAGGGCTCGCAGGCCACCAGAGGCGGCGGCGGGGGCTGCGACGCAGCCGCCAGGTCGAGGGCTGACCGGGCCGCGGACTCGGCCAGCCGGGCCGCGGAGGAGGCCGCGTCGCAGACCTCCGCGACCTCGTCGAGCCACACCGGGATCTCGGACCAGGGCTCGAGCGACGGGGACGCGGGAGCCAGCCGCCACCCCAGCCCAGCGAACAGCGCCACGACCAGGGCCGGCAGCGCCGCGGCGGTCCCAGGGGGGAGCATGCGGCGCTCCGTCCGTTATGAGCCGAAGACAGGCTATGGAGAGAGGGGGAGGGGGGGCAGGCGAGAGCGGGACAAATTGTATGTAACGCCGATGTCTAAACTTCCTTGGATCGTTTAGCAGGTATTGTTTACATCACCGAATTCCGAAAGCCCTAGCTCAAACCTTTCAAGAACATATATGACTCCATATCCGTTTCTGACCGTCCCGGGGCCCGAACACAGCCCCCAGAGGCCGACAAAAGGCAAAAAAAAAACACTCCCGAACCCAAAGCCGCATACCTGCCCTTCCTGCTGGCCGGAACCAATGCTGGGCTGCAGCCTGCTCCAACGATAATCCCTCAAGGACATTGATTTGAGCACAGGCCCAGTCGCCTATCCTACCGCTTTGCGCTTCGCGCTGCGCGGAGCGCGAAGAACGTCCATCTTCGCGCACTCGCGCGGCGGCGCTGACGAAGGACAGGCCCTCCTCCAGCCTGGGCCGCGAAGCGCGAAGACCTTCCCTTTTTCGCGCCCCATAGACAGATAGCTCCCTGATGCGGCACCGGCTGGCCTCAGCGGCCCGAGGAAGTCGACTGCACGCAGGAATGAGCCCAGGCGAGCATGACCTCTGGTGCGCGGCTCTATAAGGGGCCGTGGGGAGGCCAAATCCCGGCGCGCAGGCCAGTGCTGGGGGGACCCCTGTGGGCACGCACCAAAGGTCACTCTGGGGAGGATGGAATAAACCAAATCTGCTCAAAATCGGTTCCCAGACGCCTCCCAGGGCACATCAGATTTTCACCCAGGATTCTTTTTTGACGGTCCCAGAGATTGAAAAGAACAAAACACAGTCTCGGATCCAGCAGCTCAAACCTTGCCCCACGCTTCCTGCTGGCCAGAACCAGCGCTGGGCCACCTCAGACCCCCAGCCGAATCCAAACTGTGGGCCTGCACCGCTGCAGTGATCGCTATGACTTGCAAGAATTGCAAGGTAGTTGCAACCCACTTCTAATTATGGTGCAAGTCCGCCGTGACTTAGAGCATTTAGGCAGACTTGCAGCCCGCCCTGCAAGAGGGTTGCAATCACCTAAAGACCTCGCAGCTGTTGCAACTCGGACCGACCGCTATAGCAAAGCTGAATGTCATTCCGACGCAAGGCCCCTGTTTCGCGTGGCCGAGGAACGTCCGGGACGGTCTCAGCACCTCGCGCTCGGCGCCCTGGGGCTACAGGCGCCGAGGCTGCCGTGGGCTGCCGCCGAGTGGACCCTGCCGAGGCCCGCCTGAGCCGACGCCCTGCGGGCTGCCCGTGAGCAGCCAATGGCCCTTGGCCACTCTTTATTCCAAAATTCGTCCGGAGGCCACCCCTGGGGGCCTCCCATGCCATTTGGCTTGCTCTTGCGAGTCGACGCTGGTCGACGCGAGTCGACGCTGGTCGACGCTAAGTCGACGCTAAGTCGACGCTGAATCGGTGCTCTCTTGTCGACTACTAGACGCTAGCGCACGCGAATGCACTCTGAAGACGGCCTTACAAGAACCCAATGAATTGCGATGAAAACATAAGAGCTCTTAAACTGAGATCCCAAAGGTGCAGCGTCCTGAAATTATCAAAAAAAACACGTCTGGGATCTTGGCGTTACATGTGTTTCAAAACGATTGCCTGGTTTCGAGCCCTGGGACCCTCACAGACCGATCTGGTCGTGATGTTTCGCGATGTTGCATTGTTTTGAAACGTCAGATCTGCAATTTCTGATTTGTGTTCGAAGAACCTGGTGGGTGCCAAGGCTCCCCATAGCTCCCCGGTCTTGTTTCCCTACACGGGGCTTGTTTTCCTCGGTCTCCCCAATCTTGTGCCTCGGGTTCACTGGTCGATCGTGTGCCTTCTTTGTCTTCCTCGGGCTCCCCGTTCTTGTTCCCTGCTCGAGTTCCTCGAATTCCCCAGTTCGAGTTCCTTGCTTGGGTTCCTTGCTCGAGTTCCTTGCTCGAGTTCCCCAGTTCGAGCTCTTGTTCCCTGCTCGAAATCCTTGCTTGGGTTCCTCGGGTATCTCGGTCATGCTCCTTGCTTCAATTTTGCGGGTTCTCCGGTCGTGTTCCTCGGTCTTCCCAGGACTGCAAAGCAATGCGAAGAACTCCGCCCATGCAGTCGGAACCTTCCCCCTATTGGGAAGCGGCGGTTTCACTTTTGTTTGCCAGGACGTCTCCTTGATCCTGCGTGCGTACGCGTCGTTCAGCTCCTCCCAGGAATCACAATGTACCGATATCGCTTCTGCCCAGAGCTCTCCCAGGGTGCCTTCTGACCGCGAACCCAATCGTGGCGACGAAGACCCCCCAGGTTGCCCAGAAAGGCGAAAACGGAGAAAGGATAGCGGTAGCTATCGTTACCATTTCCTCTTCCCCTCCTCGAGCCGCTGCCTCTGCTCTTGGGCGTGCGCCGCCAGCCGGGACGCCCAGTCCTCGCCAGGAGAGCCCAGAATTGAATCGATACGTCGGATCGGCGATGGACATGAATCGGACCTGCGGATCGGCAACCAAGCCGGGAGTAGCCGAATCGGCGGAAGTCGGCAGGCCTGACAGACCGAAACTCAGATCGGAATCCGAGGTCGAGTCGGATCGGAATCGGAACCGACCGACATCGACTCGAATCGAGACGGAGGAATCGACAGGAGCCCTGTGCCTCTGCTCCTGGGCATGCGCCGCCAGCCGGGCCGCCCAGTCCTCCCCCGCCACGGCGCCGCCGGCCGCCGGGCCTGCGGGCCCCTGCTCTGCCCGCTTCAGAGCCAGGTGGGCCTGCTGCTCTGCCTGGGCGCACCGCGCGTCGACGTGGCCGCGCAGCGAGTCGAGCGCGCGCTGCCACAAGCCTGCGCGGAGGAAATCTACACACAGACGCCCGCCGACAAGTTTCCCCTGTGCCTTCAGGGAGGGTGGCCATGTGCAAAATCGGTGGGCATCCATGGTGATTCACGCACCGCCACCCTCGGGACCCTCCCCCGAGGTCCAAAGACAATCCACTCGGGAGTGTCTGTACACCAACACACACATGTATATACGTAGCACCCCGCAGATGCGGATAAGAGTGAGGGGGCGGTGGGGGCGTCGGCAGTTTGCAAGACTCTGGAGAAGCCCGCCGCAGGCACCCAAATTTCAAAGTATACATCGGGCCCGCCGCAGGCGCCGATTTTTTCGTGAAACCAATGTGGGTAGGTCGCGGGTGGGTCGCAAATGGGTCGCGGGTGGGTCGCGGGTTGGTCGCTGTTGGGTCGCGGGTGTAGAGGGCAGACCCCATAATAATCACCCCGACAAGCGAAACCGTTTAGTAAACGCACACAGGGGATGAATCGAACAGGGCAGGCCTGTTTAATCAACGCCCAAGTCCGTTTGGAAAACGTAAATTGTTGGTTCCGGGTGGTTTTTCCTCCCTTGAGGGTGGGTCGCGGGGTGGGTCGCGGGTGGGTCGCGGGGTGGGTCGCGGGTGGGTCGCGGATGGGTCGCGGATGGGTCGCGGGGTGGGTCGCGGGTGGGTCGCGGGTGGGTCGCGGGTGGGTCGCAGGGTGGGTCGCAGGGTGGGTCGCGGGTGTGACGCGGGGTGGTCGCGGGTAGGACGACGACAACAAACAAAAAAACAACAATCATTTTAAGACTGTTCGCCCTTATCTGCTCGAGTTTCCAATAACGCGTGTTTCCCAAACCCTCGATACCCGCCATCTCCGTCTTCGATCGAACCCCTTTTGGGGGGTATACCTTTCTTCCCTGCAGGCCGGGCCCCGGCAAGCGGCGGGGCAGCCGCGGACCGTCGGCCTGGCCAGCGGCAGCGCTGATCGGCGGGGCGGCCGCGGACCGTCGACCCGACCCCCAGAGGGACGAACAGGGGACCGACCACGACGAGGACGACGACGACGACGTCGACGACGACGGCGACGACGACGACGACGGCAACGACGACGACGTGCGAAAGCGAGAGCGAGAGAGAACGACAGCAGGGCCACGAAGGACACGAAGTAGGCCACGAAGGGCGACAGCGGGGACACGAAGAGAACGCGTATGGGGCCACGAAGAGCGCGAACGAGCGGGGGCCACGAAAGGCAGATAATGCGGGGCCACAGAAGGCAACGATGGGGCCACTGAAGGTAGCAACTGGGCCACGTAGGACAGTGAGGGGGCCACACACGGCGGCCACGAAGGGCATGCACATGGGGCCAAAACCGGCGCGAACGAGCGGGGGCCACGAAGTGCATGCGTATATTGGGCCGCGGAGGGCAAGAACGGGGCCACTGAGGGCAGCAACGGGGCCACAAAGGGCTGCAACGGGGCCACGAAGGGCGACAGCGGGGCCACGAAGGGCATGCATATGGGGCAACCACGGGCGCGAACGAGCGGGGGCCACGAAGGGCATACATATATGGGGCCACGAAGGGCAGCGAGGGGGCCACGAAAGGCTGCAACGGGGCCACGAAACAAAGCGAGGGGGCCACGAAGGGCTGCAACGGGGCCACGAAGGGCAGCGAGGAGGCCACGAGGGGCTGCAACGGGGCCACGAAGGGCAGCGAGGGGGCCACGAAGGGCTGCAACGGGGCCACGAAACAAAGCGAGGGAGCCACGAAGGGCTGCAACGGGGCCACGAAGGGCAGCGAGATCCCGATTCCTAGGTAATCTGCGAGGGAATCCTAAGCGTGAGCGCGACTCCTGGGTGCCTGGGTGTCGGGAGCGCGGCGCTTGAGTAAATTGCAAGCAATTCCAATGCAAGGGCGCTATTCTATAGTAGATTGCAAGCAAATCTCCAGCGAGAGCGCGACTCCAGAGCGCCAGGAAAGCGATTCCTGAATAAATTGTAAGGAAGTCCCAAGCGAGAGCGCGATTCCTGAATCAAACGCGAGGAAGTCTCGGACGGGAGCGGGGGTCCTGGCTAAATTGTGAGGAAGTCTCAGGCGAGAGCCGATGTTGTTGTAAACTGGGGGCCAACGACAAAGTTTGACCCTCAAGACTTTTCATGATAAAAAAAACAGTGTGCGAGCCCCGGGAAGGGCACTTCAATTGAAATTACCCTGGCGACGTACCCAACCCTTGCGCAATGCGGGGCATAAGTACATCAGGATTGCTACAACGGGGGCGATGACGTAACATGGACGCATGTGATTTTGCGAGCAGCAATCGGAAGTCTCGCAGGCCCCCGATCAAGATCTAAGGGCTACGTAATAACAAATCACCCCCGTTGGCTGTGCCATGCGCCCGTTGCACCAAACGTATCCCGCAACAGCTCTTGAGAACCCCCGCGGGATACGTGTAGGCGCAACGTTATGGCCATCGCCTGGCAGATGGTCTGTTTCACAAATCACCCCCGATGGCTGTGCCGTGCGCCCGTTGCGCCTAACGTATCCCGCAGCAGCTCTCCAGAGCCCCCCCAAGGACGGCGAGGTCCCGCTCAATCCCCGCGGTGCCACCAGCAGCCCTCGAAAATGGCGACAGAGTCGCAAATCGCAACCCCCCAGGGACGGCGAGGTCCCGCTCAAATCCCTGCGGCGCCTCGCTCCGCAAGACCCACCAGCAGCCCTCGAAAGTGGCGACAAAGCCGCAGAACGCACCCCCCCAAGGACGGCGAGGTCCCGCTCAGATCACCGCGGTGCCTCACTCCGCAGGACCCACCAGCAACCCTCGAACGTGGCGACAATTTCGCAGATCGCAGTCCCCCAGGGACGGCGAGGTCCCGCTCAAGTCCGCGCGGTGCCTCACTCAGCCCTCGAAAGTGGCGACAAAGCCGCAGAACGCAGCACCCCAAGGACGGCGAGGTCCCGCTCAGATCCGCGCGGTGCCTCACTCCGCAGGACCCACCAGCAGCCCTCGAAAGCGGCGACAATTTCGCAGATCGCAACCCCCCAGGGAGGGCGAGGTCCCGCTCAGATATGCGCGGTGCCTCACTCCGCAGGACCCACCAGCAACCCTCGAACATGGCGACAAGTTCGCAAATCGCAACCCCCCAAGGACGGCGAGGTCCCGCTCAGATCCGCGCGGTGCCTCACCCCGCTGGACCCACCAACAACCCTCGAAAATGGCGACAATGCCGCAAATCGCAGCCCCCCAGGGACGGCGAGGTCCCGCTCAGATCCGCGCGGTGCCTCACCCCGCAGGACCCACCAGCAGCCCTCGAAAGTGGCGACAGCGTCGCAAATCGCAGCCCCCCAGGGACGGCGAGGTCCCGCTCAGATCCGCGCGCGCCTCACTCCGCAGGACCCACCAGTAGCCCTCGAAAGTGGCGGCAGTTTCGCAGATCGCAACCCCCATCGTCGGCGAAGAGATGGCAGGAGGAGGCGGGGGGCGGGAGGAGGGGGGGCGCGACCACAGTGCTCTAGTCAAAACGAATACCCAACCAAGGAGGGTTGGGAACACATACCCTGGCGACATACCCAACCCCTGAGACGGCGAGGTCCCGCTCAGATCCGCGCGGCGCCTCACTCCGCAGGACCCACCAGCAGCCCTCGAAAGTGGCGACCGCGTCGCAGATCGCAGCCCCCCAAGGACGGCGAGGTCCTGCTCAGATCCGCGCGGTGCCTCACTCGCAGGACCCACCAGCAGCCCTCGAACAAGGCGGCAATTTCGCAGATCGCAGCCCCCCAAAGACGGCGAAATACCGCTCACGTCAGCGCGGCGCCTCGCTCCGCAAGACCCACCAGCAACCCTCGAAAGTGGCGACAGCTTCGCGGATCGCAACCCCTCAGGGACGGCGAGGTCCCGCTCAGGTCCGCACGGTGCCTCACTCCGCAGGACCCGCCAGCAACCCTCGAACGTGGCGACAATTTCGCAGATCGCAGCCCCCCAGGGACGGCGAAGCTCCGCTCAGATCCGCGCGGTGCCTCACTCCGCAAGACCCACCAACAACCCTCGAAAGCGGCGACAAGTTCGCAGATCGCAGTCACCCAGGGACGGCGAAATGCTGCTCAGGTCAGCGCGGCGCCTCACTCCGCAGGACCCACCAGCAACCCTCGAAAGTGGCGACGGCTTCGCAGATCGCAACCCCCCAAGAACGGCGAGGTCCCGCTCAGATCCGCACGGCGCCTCACTCCGCAAGACCCACCAACAACCCTCGAAAGCGGCGACTATTTCGCAGATCGCAGTCACCCAGGGACTGCAAGGTCCCGCTCGTGCCCGCGCGGTGCCTCATTCCGCAGGACCCACCAGCAGCCCTCGAACGTGGCGACAGCGTCGCAAATCGCAGCCCCCCAGGGACGGCGAGGTCCCGCTCAGGTCCTCGCGGTGCCTCACTCCGCAGGACCCACCAGCAGCCCTCGAAAATGGCGACAACTTCGCGGATCGCAACCCCCCAGGGACGGCGAAGTCCCGCTCAAGTCCGCGCGGTGCCTCACTCCGCAAGGCCCACCAACCACCCTCGAAAGTGGCGACGGCTTCGCAGATCGCAGCCCCCCAGGGACGGCGAGGTCTCGATCAGGTCCGCGCGGTGCCTCACTCCGCAGGACCCACCAGCAACCCTCGAAAGTGGCGACAGCTTCGCGGATCGCAACCCCCCAGGGACGGCAAGGTCCCGCTCAAGTCCGCGCGGCGCGTCGCTCCACAGGACCCACCAGCAGCCCTCGAAAGTGGCGACGGCTTCGCAGATCGCAGCCCCCCAAAGACGGCGAGGTCCCGCTCGGGTCCGCGCGACGCAAGAACGCGCGCGCGCACGCTTTTGTTGAAAACCCGTGTTGCGAAACCTTGGGTTTTTGTAAGTTTTTTGGACACACGATTTTGAAACCCTTCCCAGACCGATGGGTTTTGAAAGTTTCCGGCACACGCGCGCGACGACGCGCGCGCCTGCACTTCGTCCCGTCTGTTGCAACATATTCTCGCGACGGCATGCGCGCAAGGGCGTTCGACTGATTTCGACATGCGCGCGCGAAGCCCGTTTAATAACATTTTGTGAAAATCTTGGAAAAAAACCTATCGTTTTCTTAAGATTTCGCAAAACCTCGCGCGGCAGCTTTTGTAGCACATCCGTGCTGCGAAACCCTGTGTTTTGGTACGTTTGTTCGGGAACTCGATTGCGAAATCCTTCCGGCACCGAAGGTTTGTTTTAAGGATTTCGGCATGCGCGCGCGACGACGCGCGCGCGCACTTCGTCCCATCTTTTTCAAGGGATTCGCGAAAAAGTGCTATTTTTTACAACAGAGCCTCAGGGGGGGATACTGGCTGGCCTGGGACATTGCGATTTCATATTTAGGATGTGGTCAGAATCATATATGATGTACATGCCCGAAAGGGGGACCGATAACGCCGGGGTGGGTGGGTAGAGTCTATTCTCTTTTTGGAAAGGAGAATTTGCCGCAGCCTCTACTGCTACAGTCTTGGCAAACATGTAACCTGAATCTCCATCTCTCGTCATTTCAAGATCTGCCGTCCTCTCTTTCATTGATGCCGACCATGGTTTTTCCGCTCGAGCATTCAATCACTTGCCCGCCCCTGGTTTTGACAACGAATGTCCATCTTGAAACGGATTCAAGACATCTTCCACGTTCAAGGCAATTATGAATTCTGCGTGCTCACTGAAAAGGCCCGACAAAACATGCGTGTCAATGACCTTTTTTATCTTGTCACTTACATAAATAGCCGCATAAGTGACGCGTGGGTGCACGCGTTCTCGAATGCTGCGCAATCCCCCTCTTCCGGCGCGTGCGTCCCGCACGTCTTGTTATGTCGTTGCCGTTGCCAACGCAAGCATGCGTTGCACCTTGTCTCCCCGCTCCCATGCGATATGTAACTTATAGCTTGGCATTGCGCGCGTGAATAGCCCTTCCTCCGTTCGATGACGCGATCGAACGAGGTCCACTCACATGCATCTTCCGGGGCCCATGCTCTCTATGACGCTTCCTATCGTATCAAAGTCCAAACGCCCTGAAAGACTTACCTCTGCATCGGGATCAGATCCTTCCGTCTCGTATGTAGTTCTCCGTTGCCTCTTAGGTAAATAATGCAACGCGCGCCGTGCTTCTGCAATTTCTTTTTCATGCCATCGTAAATTCCGACCTTAATTTTTGCGTGTATTCCATTTGCATCCTGAATCATAGCTTCGGCGACAATGTTGACTTGAATGTTAGAAACCATGGAATGCCCCAACAATTTCAGACCCCTTTTCAGTCGCATTGACAACGTAAGCCGTGCATCCAAGAGGGACAATACAAAGGCCATGCTGCCCAGGATCGCGATAATATCTGCGAGGCGAATTGAATCGATGTTCTTTCATGTAAGGAGCTAGGCGCGGCTCGCTCCAACCCTTCGGTTCATTTGATTTCTCCCTTCGGTTCAACCAATCTTTGAAGAACACATGACAATCAAACATCGTCGGGCAATGTCGTTGCCATGGTACAATCACTAAATTGATCCAGCAATTTAAGATCATTGGTTCGAGCTTGCTTGGGTCCTCAGGGCTTCTTCTGTCCTCCCTGTTTCAAACTATTTCTGGTATGTTGTCAGCGCCGATGCAAGTAGTTGCGATGCGCATGTGGTTTCCCATTTCAAGTAAAACATGGGCAATCGAAGGGGGGGGGGGGGGGGGATCTTCCACTTTTGATGCTACAGTAATTCAGTTTTGCTCGAGCTATAACTTCGCCAATGAGATGTAAGATGCATCGCCCCTTGCGTCGGCCATCGCCATTCTTGCATGGAAGAAGCGAAAATGAGCCCCCCCCGCTCGGCCCCCGATGGAGAGCGACCGGCCCCGCTGCGCCCAACAGTGAGCCGCGCTGGTTGGTTTTGAATGTGAAACGCGTAAGAAAAACTCCACTTGCGATGTTCTTCAACGTGCGCTCAACAGTTGGAATTGCAAACGGAATTCGTGCATTTGCAGCGCTGACAATACAATCTTCTTTGAAAATCCAGAATACTCTGGGATTTCAAAGGAGAAACTGTTCAATGAACCGATGCATTCATTGTCTGGGATACTTGAAGCGCTGTGGTCCGTTCCTTGCTCTTTGATCGAAGATTTGTGTCGAATCCAGTCTGGAACCCGTGTGAGCCTGCTACCCTCTCCAAATATGCCAACGCCTTGTCTGCTGTCTTGTCTTTGGCCAACTGCTTCGCGAACTGAAGCTTAGCACTCTTTGCATTTCTCCCACCTTCCCAAGATTGCACTTTCTAAATCATCATTTGTTGCTTATCCTTGCCGCGAAAAAAGCGCAAGCAAGAGCGCGCGTTGCGCATTTTCTACACGTGCCCACCCAGTCATGTTTGCAATCGCTTAAACTGACTGTCAATGCCTGGAGCTCCAGTTCATGATTTGCCATCTGTTTGAATGCAGTTGTGCGTAAATCGGGCTGGTCATCTTTATTATTTTCAACTGATACTGGATGGCCACGCAGCTCGAATGCATGTCTTTTGGGGCAAGGTTTTTTGTCTCTTCCATCTCGTCTTGAATAATATCGCCTGCAGGTACAAGGTCTTCATCTTCCACATTGTCATCTGCAGGTGTTGCAGGAACTTCTGGAATACCAGCAGCGCCCGTCGATTCAGCAGGCAAATATCCTTCTTCCAAATGCGAGCCGATGTACTCTGGCACGCTCAACAACTGAAGTATTGCTCCTTCCACAGGCGGGCGACGCCACAAAAGAACACCACCCACAAGACACGGAATCAAGGCAAAAAAAACCTTTGCCATTGATCAACCTTCTCCACCAAGGCAAACTGAAGGTTCGTTACTCGTAAAATGTAAAAGCTGTTTAGAACCGAATCGCACTCCGGAGCATTCAAGCACAACACAAGACATTGATTATCACGTCTGGGTGGCCATTTTGCAGAGATGGAACCGACAAACCTGCGCAGCCACATGGCGTGTACAATATGCACTTACGAGTTGTTTGCTTCTTGAGCCCGGTTCGAAATATCCTGTCTCGGTCGCCTGGCTGGCCGCCTTTCGGAGATGGAACCGACAAGCCTGCGCAGCCACTCGCTGGGGATGGAACCGACAAGCCTGCGCAGCCACACGGCGTGTATGATATGGAATTTTGAGTTCCTCTTTCTTGCTTTCAGCTTCGGTTCTTATGTCTGTATATTATTCGGTTTCTTCTTATGTATATTCTTGATCGTTTGCCCGTATGTACAATATGATTCGTTTTCTTCGTATTCGGTGTACTATTCGGTTTCTTTTTGTTTTGCGGTTTCGTATTATCCGGTGTCTTCTTGTTGTATTAGTTTTCGGTTTATGTTTGGTTATGTCCTTTATCGTGTTCTTCTGTTTGTTAAGATGTATTGTCTTTTTCGGTATACTTGTCTTGAACATGTTCTTGGGTGTCTTCTTCGGTTTCTTATGCGGTATTTGTTGAGCTTTATGCTAGGTGGAGGTCGAATCCTTTTCACCTCAGGCCTGGGCGATCTTGATCACAAAATGGCTTCAGCCAAACATGCAAACGTGCATGCATGCAATACTCATTATCCTCGCTCGAAACCCCTCGGATATCTGCACGCCCCCTGAGGGCGATGTCGGAGGCTCTACGGGGCGGCTGATCAGACCGCTCAACGAGGAAACAGTACTCAAAGTCAAGGAAAACCCGATCTCGCGAGCCGCAGGCAAAACACGCTGCTGCGGCGTCGCTCAAGCCCTTCCGCTGGGTGTCCTCTCGACTCACCAGCGGGATACCGCATCAAATCACTCAACTCACTCACCTCGCTCACCTCACTCAGCCCAGGCACCCTGAGCTCTCTCTCCCAGTGGGACGAACCTAGGACTCTCCCGATGCCAGGAGTACGTCACCTGGCTCTGGGTCGAGACGGTCCTGTACTCGATCTTCACCTTCTTGGTCTTGATGGCCCTCTGGGAGAGCTCTACCTTCTCCTTCTCCTGCCTGCTCTCGCTCGTGCGGCTCGGCCTCGTGAAGTAGCCGATGCACCAGCCAACGCAGCCACCGGCTGCGCATGCCACGATCATGATGATGATCATGACCACGATGAGCATCATGCCCTGGAGGTGCACGCCAGTCTCTTGACGGGTGTCCTGCAGGATGATATCCTTCCTGTCCTTCTCGTAGCCGTATACGTCGCACTCACCGTCTGCCTTCACCGAGCCCAGGCTGTCCAGGAGAGCGATCAGGGCCGCGCCGACCCTCGCCATCTTGGACGTCGAGTCGCTCACGAGGTTGACCCGAACAGCCGTGCTCTCCTCCATGTCATCAGCGCCCGCCAACGGCCGACGTCCCAGCTGTGCTCTCAGCCAGTGGAACCGCTGACTCGTCAGCGCCTTGGTTCCCGCATCAGCCAGGTTGGTCTCCCCAGCCCGCTTGATCACCACCAGCTTCTTGTCTCGCACCTTGGCCTGGAGCCACAGGGTGCGGACCTCAAGGTGGCGGATCCTCCCTACTCCAACGCGGTGGCAGACCGCCTTTCCCGCAGAGGAGTCTATGCGGATCCTGATCTTCACGTTCATGTCCAGGAAACCCATCGCGCTCTGGAGGTGGATCGCCTCGGCAGCTGCTGTCGCAGACGCGTAGTACTCTGCTTCTCCTGAGCTCAGCGCTTGGGTGCACTGACCGCGCGAGTACTCGAGAAGCGTGCAGCCACCGCAGCACAACACCCCGCAAGAAACACTCTTTCTGTCGATGGTGTCCCCAGCCCGATCTGAATCAGTGTAGCACTCCAAAATATCTGCCTCTCCAGCTCTGGGAAAGAACAGTGCGTAGTCTCGAACTCCAAGTAGGTGCCTGCCGAGGTGCTTGAGCATCTTCATGTCGTAGTCGGTGGGCGTGGCCAACCTCTTGCTCAGCACGTGGACAGCAAAAGTGACCTCCGTGACGTAGTTGACCATGTACCTCGCGATGCCCACGCACTGCCTGTAGAGACTGGTCTCCTCGGCAATCAGCGGGTGCTCGAAGTCCTCCTGCAGTAGCTTCGTCACAATGGGCGTGGGCGAGCTCTTTGCCTTGCCGAGGTGCAGCAGCTCTATGATCTTGTCCGCGTACTTCCTGTTGCCCGTTGAGAACATGCCGTCCTCGACTCTTACTCGCCCTCCTTTCAGATGTTGGCACTTCGCACCTACCTTGAGTAACTTGCTTACCTTGATCTTGACCTTGCTGCTGAGCTCCGTCGTGAATGCTTGGAGCTTGCTGTCATCAGCGGTCGCGTAGATGTCATCCAGATGAAGCTCCAGGTCCACTGAATCCCGCTCTCGGCAGTAGAAGCATGGCTGGTCAGGACATTGCTCGAACTCCATCTCTGAGACGAGGGTGCGGTTCATGAAGTCACTGAAACCCCTGCTCGCATCCCTCTCGCCATAGAGCTTCTTCATCCTCCTCCACATCGTCCTCGTGGTGTTGCCCTTGATTGCCTCGGCCTCGATCCACTCCCGAGGTGGCACCACTGCCACGAGCCTGTCTTGTTCAGCATGGAAGTAGGCATTGACAGCGTCGATGATGACGGTGGGCTGGTTCCGCTTCACCGCCTTGAAGTCTATGAACCTGCCAGTCGCGGGTTCGCTGGCCGGCGTGAACAGCCCCTCGCGTTCGGGGTCCATGCTCTTGAACTCCCTGGCAACGAAGCGACAGCGAATCTCATCGCCCTTATCCTGGTACACCCCCTTGGTCGATAACCTCGTCCATGTGGAATCTATCTCATCAGGCGACACAGCCTCGAACACTCCAAACTCCTGCATCGTGTTGATATCCTTGCACTTGCCTGCCTTGATGAGGTCCACGTCGTACTCTCCCTCATGCCAATCGATGTCCATCTCTGGATCCATGACGGGCATCATATCGATCTCGTCCATCACGAAGCCGTCGACGCCTCCGACGGTGCCCATCTCAACCTCTGGGACCTCTGACTCCCCAGTCGGCTGGGCAGGACGTGATGGCGAGCTTCCGCCTACTTCTTGCCTCGGTGTGGGGAGCGCCACGTCCTCCATGTAGCAACTTCCCGTCCTGCTCCTGGCACTCGCGCAGCCGTTCCCGTCCTCGGCAACTCCCCTCTCCACCGTGGGGTCTGGAACCCCCTTCTCCTCCTTGGTGTCGTCGACCTCGGTCTCCTCCTGCTTCTTCTCAGGTGGGGCAGTCGGGAGAATGACCACCCTCTTGCCTTTCGGCCTTCCGATCTGGCCGATGCCTCGGTCCCAGGGGACCCCAACCATCTTGGCCACAAGCTCGAGGTCGCACTGGTCCTCCTCTGGGAGCCTGCGCACGGCCCTGACCAAGTGCACCCCGCTGCTCGTCCTCATGAGGAACTCATCACTCTCGTAGGTCTTGCCCAAGAAGATGCCCTTCTCCCACATCGACTTGGACTTGCGACTGCGCCTGCCTCCAGACATGCGGCCACTCGACGACATCGGATGCTTGAACATGGCGGTCTCTGCGAACTTCAGGACGACGCCATGGTACTTGGTACCAGTCGCATCTTGATGAAGAGTCCGCCCATTTGACTTGATGTGGAACATCTCCGCGATGAAGCCTACGTGTCTGACAAGCCACGGCCACAGAACATGACCTGGCCCTATCTTGATGCCAAGCATCTTCTCTGTTGCAGCTCTGATCGTTCTGGTCTGGCCCTGCAAGATCTTCTGCTGCGCCCCCACGGCCCCGAGCGACTGCGACGAGTACCTGGGGGTCTGCTCCACTGTGACCTTGTTGCCGTCGAACTTGAGTCTCTTGGCCGCCACTGCGTTCGCTATGCTGACAATGCTCGGCTCTCCGTCACTCCTGAGCCTGAGCTGAGTGGCGCCTAGCCTCCTGAGGAAGCTCACGATCGAGGTCACCGTGTAGTCGTGGTTGCCTCCCTTCTCTGGGAGGCTGAGCTGCAGAGGAACACCCGTGTCGCAGTCGATGACGGCCAGCGTGGTGGAGAAGCGGTTGGCCGCATCCTCGGCCTCCTCGCCGTCGCCCTTCAAAAAAAAAGTAGTCGATCTGCACGACAGGCACCTCTGGCTCCTTGTCCGTAAGCAACTGAACTCCCCGATGAGGTGCGGCATCTCCCTTTCCGAACACGCACTCCAGGCACCAAGGCTCGAACTTCGCGTGAGTAAGCTCGTGCTGCCGCACGGTCTCCGCGTCGGGCCTCTCTGGGATCTTCAGCGTCCTCGGTACTTCGGGATCGATGCCTTCCTGGAGTCGCCGTTGACGCTCCTCGAGGGCCCCCTTGACCTTCATCTTTTCATCCAGCTGGTGCTCGCACTTGACGGGCCTCTCCCACAGCTGCTACTTGGTGCCGTAGATGGCCGCATCGATGATCCCAAGCCTCCAGAGCTCCTTCAGGCGTGCCCTCAACGCCTCGACTGACGACTGGGAGCCTAGGATCTCTCGTGGATTTCCTGCCTGTGGTGGTGCAGGTGCGGCTTGAGGTTCTGGTGGTGCAGGTGCGGCTTGAGGTTCTGGCGGTGGTGCTGGCGCTGGCTCTTGCTCGTGAGCCGCTTGATCGATCACAGGTGCCACTCGATGCCTGTGAGCACCCGCCTCCTATACCCGACACCTCGCGTAGAAGCTCTTCCCGATGATTGTCAGGGGTATCTTCCTCTGGACGCCATTCGCGCCCGGCGGGGCCATGTCGCTGTTCCCCGTCTCCAAATGAATGACCGCTCCCCTCATGACTCTGATGCCACAGCTGAGCACAGGCTTGCTGAAGTTACCGATGCGAAATCGGTTCGTGGACATCACCTCGTGGCCAATCTCGTCCAGGAACGCGATGCCGACGTTCTGCTCGCCGTAGTCCTGGATCTCGTCGTTGGTGGCCGTCCTCAGCTCCACCTTAGTGGGGTCCTCGACGTCATCGCTCGAATGACCGAAGCCGAGGGGACACCCATCGGCGTCCGACCCGCTGTCGATCGAGACCCACACGTACTTGCTGCCGTCGTCGATGGTGTTCACGCTCTCGGCGGCGCCCATGACCCACAGCTCGTCCTGCTCGTTAACTATCCTCTTGACCTCAGCATTCTCGGGCTTCGGCCTGCACCCGGAAGCTTTGTGGCCCAGCTTCCCGCACTTGTCGCACTTGATGTGTGACCTGCAATCCTTGGCCTCGTGGCCTGGCTTCCCGCATTTGTCGCACTTCTTCCTCTCTTTGCCTCCTTTGCCACCTTTCGTGTCCTTACCCTTGCCTTTCATCTGGTTGGCTGCTCCACCTCCTGGGGCCCAGCAATCCCTTGACCAATGGCCTCGTTTGCCACAGTTCTTGCAAGTGTCGCGATCTGAGTCCCGACCCTTGCCAGCGTCCTTCCTCGCCTGCTTGCCGTGCCCCTTCGGTGGCTTGAAGATGCCGCCAACGTCTCCACTCTCGTTCAACATGCCGACGTCCATGGGCATGGGTCCGTCGTACTGGATGCCGCGGGGCGCCCCAGTGGTCTCGTAGACCTTGCCACTGGCAATGTAGTCCGTGACAACCTTGGCCAGCTTGTGGTAGTCCTGGCCAATCGCCCCCAGAGCTTGACGGACCACGGCCTTCACGTCCTCGGGAGCCCACCTCGTGCCTTCCGTCACCTTCTCCAAAGACTGAGCTTCGTAGAGCGAAACGCTCTTCTCCCACTCCTTCCAGGCAGCCTCCCACATGCGGATGCCGCCCCTGATGGCCGTCTCCCACTCTGGCTTGAGCACGCTCATCAGCATCGCCGCCAGTCTTCCGCCAGACTTCGGCTCGTACTCGTCCTTCAACCTCTTCCAACCTATGGCACCGTTGTTCTTTGGCACCATCTGGAGGATCGTGAGAGCTTTGCCTCTCGTCGTGGCGATCAGCAAGTGATACAGCACCTTCATCCTCAATTGGGCTCTCTCCGATTGAGTTGCCCAGCCTAGCTCCGTCTCGTCCGTGTTCTCGCAGTGCGTCATGATCTGCTCTAGGTCGACGAGCCCTGCCGTCGACTCGAACACGAAACACCACTGCCTCCATTCCTCGTCCGCGCCTGAGAAGACTCCAATCCTGCTCAGGATCTTCGTGTCAACTATGCTCTCAAGCCGTCTGTCCTCAGCTTGAGCTTCTGGTCTCTGGGCGCCCTCGGTCAGCCTCTGGATCTGGGCCGCCTGCTCGCCAACAATCCGCTGCAGCTCCTGCAAAGCTGCCTCCATCGCGCAGCTCTGGCTGCGACTGAACACACTCACGCTACCATGTTGAGCTTTATGCTAGGTGGAGGTCGAATCCTTTTCACCTCAGGCCTGGGCGATCTTGATCACAAAACGGCTTCAGCCAAACATACACACGTGCATGCATGCAATACTCATTATCCTCGCTCGAAACCCCTCGAATATCTGCAGTATTCGGCTTCTTCTCATGTATATCATTACTCGGTTTCTCTTTATTGATATTCATATCCGGCGTCTGTTTGTTTACCTTCTTCTTCTGGTTCTCATTATGTGTCTCATCATTAGGTTCCTCATGGTTTAGATTATTATTACGTGTTTCTGTCTTATCTTCTTCGGTTTGATACTATTTATATGAATCTCCGGTTCGTTACTATTTATACTATTATTCGTTTTCTATTTCTCGATCGATTTCTTCGGTGTCGCGTTCTGTATATTCACATTCGGCATAGATTTCTTTATGTTATTATTCGGTTTATCTGATATATCTTCTTATTCAATTTCTTTTCGTCGTCGGGCGTGCCGGCTGGAACGGGTGGAAAAAACGGCACCGCCGGAAAATGATACGAGAAACTACACACAACTCGGGTTTTGCTTGTATCAAATCGCAAATTAGTGGAAGGTGAATCGTAAGCCGAGTGTTGGCACTATGTATATGTTCAACTATATGTATATGTTTGTGTATGTGTGTAAGTGTGTATGCGTACGCGTGTATATTTGTATGTATATGCGTGTGTGGCGGAGAGCCCGTGTCCACCGAGCCGGCCGCCGCGGCGGCCAGCTGCCGCTCCTATAGAGGGAGAACAAGCGGCATCAACGTAACCCAGCACCCCGATTATCATCAACCCGGGATAGTAAAGTTCGGCGGTCTGGCGGGGATAATCAATGATGTTTCCTGGGGAGGGTGGGGTTAGTTGTAAGTTATGATGGCGATGCTGATGACGAAGATGATTATGGTCATCCTGGGTGCTCATGTAGGCTGGCGTTGTACATCTCGGCGCAAGACTGACTCGAGAGATCTCGAGGCTCGTGATTGCGGAAGCTGAAATGGTCAGACCACCATGGCCATGCTCAGCGTTTTGATGCTATTGTTAGTCACCATGAGATGATCGCAACTTCGATCCGCAACTTCCCCCGAGGATTATCAAGTTCGGCCTCCGCGCCCATCTCCACTACTACATCCTATTGATTAGGGATTTAAACATAGAGGGGGGGCAGGGGGGGTATGTCGTATTATCCGGGGCACGGGGTGAAACTTTCGGAGCTCCGCGCGGCCTTCTTGGATCGGCGCTGGCCCCCCCTCCCAGGGTCGGCGCCTCTGGCGCCGCGAAGGGGCACAATGCTGATCCAAGAGATCCGCGCGGAACTCCCCTCGACCTGCACCTTCCGCAACTTCTGCGCGGAAGGTGCCGCCGCTGCAGCGCGGCACGTGCCGCGCGGAGGGGGCGGCAGGAGCAGGTCGAGGGTCCAAACATTTATGCTTGTGCCGTTTGTTCTTCTTCGAGCTCCAGCCGCTGCGACAGCTCCTCCAGGCGCCGCTCCTGACGCAGCCGCGCGTCCTGCTTGAGACGTCCGACGTCACTGACGGCTTCACGCGGGCCCCAGAGGTCTCGACCCATTCCCAGCGGGGGTGTTCGCTGTGACTTGCCACAGCTGCAAGGTGATTGCAGCCCACTTGCGAAACACTTGCAATCGGATTGCAAGACCGCCTGGCTGCTCCAGGTTGAATCGGCGAGTTACTGAGCATCGTTTAACCGATCCCTATCCCCACCTGCGTGGCCTCGGTCCCACTGGCATATGGATGTAGGATGCTCTCTTCGAGTTTCGAGGGGCCTATCCCCAACTTGAGGCGCGGCTGAGATACTGGCCTACTCGGACGTAGCGCAGTCAGGCGAACTTGGAGCCCACTTGCAAGCGCCTTGCAAGTGGGTTGCAACCGCCTTGCAACTGTTACGAATGTTGCAAGTCGAATCGGCCGCTATAGCAAGGTCGGCTTCTCACCCTGAATCGTTTTCTGACCGTCCTGGGGCCCAGCGAAGGCCCCCAGAGGCTGAAAACTGTCAAGCACCTCCCGTCGCGACTTGGTGTTGCAACAAGGTGAAAAACCACGACTGGATCATAAGACGCCATCTTTCTGCGGCATTCACAGGGTCCGAAACAAGGCGAAATCCCCCGTTGTTAGAACAGCAACGCCAGGATCATTGTCTTTCGAATGCGCGGCCAGAGGTCCCGACCGCTTCCGCGGGGCCAATTTGTCACCCTGGGCATTTGATGCCGCGGGGCCCGACAACGAAAGCCAAAATCGAACAAAAACACCCGGCTCCCAGACCCCGACGTCGTGTTTTTGATGACGTGTACCCCCAGCGGTCTGGACCCAGTCCCCTGGGACTGATTTTTCATTCCGAATAATGTTCTTTTACACTCCCGAAGCCAGGAAAAGGGTCACGAGCCTTCAGAGCTGACGTTTTTATAATTGTTACATCGCGGAAAAGCAACACCAGAACGATAAACCCAATATTTCTGTCTGTCACGCCAGATCGGTCTGCGAGTGTCCTGGGGCTCGAAATTGGGCGAAAACGCCCCTTGCAAAAAAAATGCAGCGCCAAGGCTTCACGGAAGGCCACAACAAACCAAAAACTTCCCGTAATGATTCGGCGGGTTCTGAAAACCCTGAACCCACAAAATGTTGCCATCTCTTGGGGATGCATCGTTCACTTCCGCCGGCTTCCGCTGGCAAATGCGACCTCGATTTGCTTCCGCGAGCTTCCACAGCTTCCGCCGCCCTTCCGCCGCTTTCCGCCGAGAAAGATGGCAACTCCCTCTGGGACGCCACACTTGTTCATGAATTGAGGGAGTCTGGGAGTGGAGGATGGGCAGTAGGGGAAGGATAAAAGGGTAACATTGGAAAATCGCTCATCCTTGCTATGCGGGTTGCTGTATGGGCAGAGGCGGGGTGTAAGAGAGTCGCTCGAAGCGGCCCGGATAAGAAGGACATGCGCGGAGCCAGCTGGGAATGTTCCCTAACCTTAGCATATGGTAAAATGCTGGGGGCGTGCTTTCTCCACAATAAGCAATTCTTCGGTTGTCGGTCAACTACGCAAAAAAAACGGATCCAAAGACATAACATCTGCAATACAAAGCGGAACCGAACCGCAAACGGCGCGAACGAGAATCCCCAAACGGAACAGGCACAGGCACCAAAACGAAGGGGATCCAACACGTCGATCTTGAACACCGGGGGGAAAAACACCACCGTCCCGCCTTGGGATGATCCCCCCTCTATTGGAGGCTTGGAAATTGGCACCGACACGGGTACAGTGGGTTGCGTCCACCAGGGGAGGATGATCCCAGATGAAGGTGTTGATGGTAATATTTCAGCCACCTGGGGAGCCCAAATCTTACCACCATCACCGAGATCGGGATCATCTTCCCTCGACGGAGGCACACCGACTATGTTGGTGTTGTTGGCAACCTCACGGACCCCCTAACGGAGAAGCAACTGTCGACCTTTAAACAAAAAACGCCCTCAAGGCTCCAGGGTTCCATTCTGCACCCGTTCGGCGCCTGAGCCCATTCTGCCTCCGAAAAGACTCACGATCGAAGACAACCCCGCCTCTATATACGACCGCGAGTCCCTAGCCCCGCCTCGGGACCCCCCCTCCCGGGTGGGTGGTAATGAGGGGTGACCTACATGGGGGGTGGAGAAAATGGCCCCAAAGGGATCCACACAGGAGCCCTAAAGGGCCCCTTCAGGGCCATTTTCCTCACGCCCTGTGTAGGCCACCCCCCGTTACCACCCGCCCGACCCTCTTTACGAACCCGGGGAGCTCCGCGTCCGGCTCCGCCCACGCCGCGCCCGCGCCGCTGCTGGCGCTGCGCGTGCCGCGGACCGCGGTGGCCAGCGTGGCGCCCGCCAGCTCGGCGAGAGGCCCCGCTGGGGGCCCTGCAGCGCGCGGCGCGCCCGGCGCCTTCTGGCACGATGGTCAGCACCGAATCGGCAAATCGGATCGAATCAGAAATGTCGGCTCGATCCGATTTCGGGCGTTGGCAGAACTTTGTTTAATGGTACCTGGTTTAGTGATGTGTACTGGGGGACGCCCCCCCGCCCCGTTCCACTAACCGGAACTGCCGTCACCCGAAAAAAACACGAGCTCGGCAGACCTGGTTTAGTGATTCTGGCAATCTAAGGGCTCGGACCTTACCACTAACCGGGTCCCCTTACCTGGGGTCCTGGCTATGCCCGACGATTCACCGATAAGAGCGCAAAATATCCGACTCGATTCGATGCGATCAGATTCGGATTCGATCCGATTTGCCGATTCAATTCGATTCAATCCGACCGATTGCCGTTACTGATTTCGATTCGATTCGATGCGACGTCGGATCGGGCTGCGTCGGCACGGAATCGAAATCGAACTGGATGACAGGATGCGCAGCAACGCCACATAAGCATCGGGCCGCATCGCATCGTTGGAATATCGGAATCGAATCGGATCGTGCTGGCCAGAATCGATACCAAATCGGATCGAAACGGACACTGCGTCGAACTAGGGAAACCAAGCTGGCGTTGCAAGTTGTTCACCACGGGTGTTTTCGCCCGTTTTCGTGCCCCTGGACACTTACCGATCGATCCAGCCTGAAACATAATGCAGAAGGTGGGGTCTGGGGCTCCAGTCACAATTTTTCGCTCAGCATCAAGCCGGCAAAACGGATCGAATCGACGTTGCCTCGACGTGTGGCCACCCCCATCGCCGCGGCGACCTCCAAATCGATCTGGGAATTTGGTCCAGGGTCGAAGATCACGCAACGAGCATCGGCACAACATCGAAATCGAATCGGATCCGATGCGCAAGGATGCCCAACAACGCCATGCAAGCATCGGGCCGCATCGGATCGTCAGAATGTCGGAATCGAAACGGATTGGGCTGGCCGGGATCGATATCCAATCGGATCGATCGGATCGAAATGGACACTGCTTCGGAAGAAACCAAACCCTGAGATCTTGGCGTCTCAGATCTTCGATCCAGGCGTTATCGTCCAATTGCAAGCCTCATGGCCCTCGCAGATCGACCCGGCTCATCAAACGGCGCAAAAGTCTGGTCGTAAGGTTTCACCATGTCGTGCTTTTCATTACGTCGGATCTGAGGGAGCGGCATCGCTACCGCAACCAAGAGGTACCGATACCGATATGCCCTTTCCTCGTCCTCGCCTGTTTGGGTCTTGTTGGAGGCCCTCGTCGCCATGGCTGGATCCGCCTCGAACTTCTAGCCTGAACCCCGCAAGTCGATTGTAGAAACATCGCTACCCTGAGAACCGACGTTGCGAACACATTGCCACATCCAAAAAGAAAACACGAGCGAAGCCCTATACCCATCTTTCTGATCAAATTTTCCAATTGGATCCATATGTGATAGCCTGGGGGCCAGAAAGCCGGTTAAAACGCCGGATGTGACAAAATTGCAATGCCCTGATCTGAGGGTTGAAGCTTTGCCTAGCGTGTCACGGCGGCGGCCCCGGCAACACGCCATGCCTGCTGACAAGCGGATAGCGTGTCGTTCCGCTCCCCACGGCGGGAGGCTTGGATAAGCTTCCAAGGCTTGGGACGTACACGCTTGAAGGCTGGAGGGTGGTTCACGCGTCGCACCGAAGCGTGGTGGGCCAGCACAGACTGCGCGATACGCTACCCTGAGACCCGACGTTTCGAAAAAATGAAACCCTAAACATTGTCTTTGCCAATTTTCAAGCCATCTGTGCGGGTCCCAGGGCCCAAAACTGGGCGAAAACGCCCGTTGTGCAAAAATGCAACACCAAGATCTGAGTGGGTAGGCGACGGCGACGGCGACGGCTACGACGACGGCAAAGGCATCGGCGACGGCAACGACAGCGGCGGCGACGGCAACGACGAGCCAAACTTTGATGAGAACCGGCCCGTTCTCGCCAAAGGCGTCGCAAGAATCGGCTAGCCCTCCGGGACCTTCGGCACCCCGCCCGGGCTCGGCGGTGTGTCCGCCTCTGGGGCGGCTACGTCGCCCGCGGCCGGTGCGGGCGGCGCCGGGGTCCCCAGGGACAGGCCCCGCTCCCGGAGCGGCGAGCTCGCGCCCCCCTCGAGAGGGCCGCCGCCGGCCCACCCCGCGGCGTCTGCGAGCGAGGAGGGCCCTGAGATCCGGGCGCCGCGACGTTCGGCGGCAAGGTCCGGGGGTTGGAAGTGAGAGGGGGGGGGCCCTCTCAGGAGGCGGCGGGGCTTCTCAGAAGCCCTCCGCCCTGCTGAGAGAAGCCGTCTCTGTCTTGGGAGAAGGCTCAGGAAACTGACAAAGCCCGTCCCCTCTGCATTCCCCCCTGTGCTTGCCGCCGAAACTTTGTACAAGGCAACGGAACATGGCAAAATTATGAAATAGTCGGGGGCCCGCGCGGATTCATTACTGCCGCGCGCCAGGGAGGGGGGTTCAGGGCCGATCCAAGAAATCAGCGTGCACCTCCGACAGATCATGTGTATGCCATGCTTTGCTCTGCGATGTTCACACTGGGCGTTGTTCCTCCTCTTTGGGCCTCCTATAGGCTTCTTGTCGCCACCGCTGGACCCGCGTCCCTCGACGAGAACGAAACGTATAGATTTTGAGCGGATCTGGGCCAGGCAGGAGAGCCGACGTCGACGTTGTCTCAACTGGCTCTCCTCCGAGCTTCGGGCCCCATGGCATCATCGCAGATCGATCCAGCCCGAAAAATGTTGAAGAAAGATTAGGTCCAGGGCTCTGGTCGCGATTTCTCGCGGTGCTGCAATTTTCGGGGGCGTCCCACCAAGAGGAGGATGCGCAAATCATGGCCCGAGGCATGTGCGCGGCACAGGGGGGGGGCAAGGAAGCATTGAAACAAGAAGAGGCGCCATGAGATTTGGAGAGATATGATGGCCTCCGCCATGATGTCCACCCCCCTCAGTCAGAGTAGTGAAGGGGCCGAACGCGTGGCTGAAGTGGGATTCCATGGCCCAGACTCTTGTTGCGTTGTCGTCGTCGTCCTCGCCCGCGTCCCGCTCGCGACCCACCCCGCGACCTACCCCGCGACCCGCCCACGACCCACCCCGCGACCCATCCGCGACCCACCCGCGACCTTCCCCGCGCCCGCCCTCTCTCTCTTACCCGCACCTGCGGGGTGGTACGGCATTGCCCTCCTTTTGGCCGCCCGCATTCTTTTCGCAGCGTCGGATCTCAGGGGAGGACGTCGAGCGCAGCCGCGCGGGCAACGCGGCCGGGCCGTCCAGCTGCCAGCCGGCGGGGCTGCGGGCGGGCCGCACCTCTTCTGCGGCAACTCATGGGAACCTCCCATACAATCCTGTTGACTCTTGCGAATCGACGCTGGTCGACACTAATCGACGCTCGTCGACGCTAAATAAACGCAAATCCAAGATAACCGACGCTAGATGACGCTAAATCGGCGCTATCTCATCGACTACAAGGCGCCAGTCGACGCCAACAACTCTGAAGACGTAACTGCGAAAGTATACAATGCTGCCGCGTTTTGCTGCCGAACACCTCGGAATCGGGGGGTACGACGACCAGCGCGGCCGGGTCCTCCGCCTGCCGGCAGCACTGCTGGGCCTCGCTCCCCGCGCCGGCGCCCATGGCGGCCGCGTCTGAGGGTCCCCACGGATGTGGCGGCGCGCGGGCTGAGCGCGGGCGCGCGGGAGCGAGGACGGCCCCTGGGGCGCGCGCGGTGGAAGGAAGATAAATGCCTCAGGGAGGAGGAAGCGGAGGAGGAGGAGGAGGAGGAGGAGAAGGAGGAGGAGGAGGAAGTACAAGCCATGCCGTGGCGGCAGCTAGCACCGCAGACACTAGCGACACGGCACATAGACTTCCCGACGCAAACCGCACAAACAATCGCAGCACATCAAGAAGCAGCCTGACGCTGGGAACAACAAATACACCCTCGATCAACGTGTCATCTTCATCAACAAGACTGGTGACCCAACGTTCCAGAACTGCATCGACAGACTACGCGGACACCAAGCTCGCTACGAGACACACCTGAACAGCCTCAACGAACACACACTGGGCGCCCAATTAAGGGAGCCACCGCCCGAGCACATGGCAACGATACACAAGGCTGCTCCCAAGTCCTAGCCGACAAACACTACGACGAACCAACCGAACCAAACATAACAACAGACCCACAACGCATGGCACACGGCACACTACCGCAACTTCCACATCAAGAAGTCCTACATAAGGACCCATACTGAAAGGCAGCACAGCCGTTCAGCAGTCAGTCAATATATCACTACCACTGACTTGCAATACACCGTCCCTCTTTCTCCTTGCTGCCCCTCTCACATGTCATTGGTACATCATACTAAAAGATTGGGGGTTCGTCTACAAATCCCTGGGTCGCAGCCCTAGGGTGGCTTGTTTTTCTGAACGTACACATCTCCCTTCTCCTCCATCCTCCTTATTCGCATCCTCGTGGACCTCTACCCTCAGGTTCGGGGTTAACCTATAAAACCCTGGGTCGCAGCCCAAATATTGCACGCTCCTTATTTTCGAGATGAATGGTTAACAATCGAACCCCCATCGCACATGCGGCTTCGGACGCAGCCTGGCAGCATTTTTTCAGCGACTGGCATTTTTTTTCAATACACCTTGTGCCGACAGCTAGCAGCGCACAATGCACACCTACATATGCAGCCTCGGAAACAGCCAGGCCGCAAGTATGGTACTCTCACTTTGCTACTCGTGGGGGCGGAGGCTTATTACTCTTATACTGCGGTGGCATCGGGGGAGGCACGTACTACTTAGGATCGGGGTTACCCAGAGAACTCTGGGAAGCAACCCAAAGATCGCCCACCTTTTTTTCACAGGATAGGGGCAAACCTTGGAAACCCTCCTTGGGTCCCAGCAAGGCATACATACTTGGAGGTTCGCCTACAACCCCCTGGGTCGCAGCCCTGGGATTGCTTGTTTTCTGCACGTGCACATCTCCCTTGTCCTCCACCCTTATCATTCGCATCCTCGTGGACCTCCCCCTCAGATTCGGGGTCAATCCAGCTCTGACACGATGGCAGTATCCTACCATAGACAGGTTCGGGGTCACGCTACAAAGCCCAGGGTAGCAACCCCAGGATTGCCGTGTGTTCGTCATTGCATCTGGCCAGCCTGCAGCATTACAGGCCAGCCACTCGGCCAGCCTACTCAAAAGGCAAGCCAACCAGCACATGGATCAGACGACTGGACTAGATCTACAGCGTGCTCTGTGTACCGTACTAAAAAACAGGTTGGGGGCTGGCTTACAAAACCCTGGGTAGCAGCCCGAGGATTGCCTTCACTTGAACTCGCGTACACACTTCCCTTGTCCTTCATCCTCCTCGTTCGCATCGTGGACCTCGCCCCTCAGGCTCGGGGTTAACCTACACAACCCTGGGTCGCAGCCCATAGATCGCACGCCCTTTACGTTTGAGTTTGCGGGCGAACCTTCAAAACTACATCGCACACGCAGCCTCGGACACTGCCAGGCAGCACGATTTCAGCGATTCATTTTTTTCAGCGCGCACAGTGCCGACAAGCTAGCAGCGCACAGCGCACACCTATACATGCAGCCCCGGACGCAGCCAGGCAATAAGTATGATACTCTCACTTAGCTACTCGTGGAGGGGGAGGCTTTTCACTGCGGAGGCGGTAGCGGAGGAGGAACTCTCATTTAGGTTCAGGGTTGCCCATGGAAAACCCTGGGTAGGAACCCAGAGAGTGCACGCCCTTCCTTTCCAGAGATTAAGGATAAACCTTGAAAGCCCTCTTGGAGCGCACAGAGTTATAACAGCCTACGCAATACACCTCTTGACCCTGTTTAGAGGAGGGCGAAGCCTTTCGGAAAACATGCGATCTAGAAACGCAGGTGCTTTAACGTCGGAGACGAACGGCGAATGGCCAGCGCCGAGTGTGCTGGTCATTCACCGCAGGCGGCCTGGCCTGGCTTCGTTGGCGCCGATTGTGTCGCTGGGTCAAGGCTCGGGGGGTCACGCCCCCGCGGGGCCGAGTGCATGCCTCTCCTTGGCACGTGGCAGGGCGCTGTGCAAAGCGCGGGCCGTCGCAGGGCAGACGGCGCTCTACGGGGCCGTTGGGCCTGCCGCTCCGCGACAGGGCGCCGCGCAGGGCGCGACGCGGCGCACGACCGAACGACGACCGCCGCAGTGCGGCGCGTTTCCTGCGAGCGCGCCTTCGCGCCGGCCGCGACGTTGTCTTGGCCCCAGCCTTCGGTGTGCATTTGTTAAGCGCACCACTGTCAGGAGAGTCCAGCGCCCCAGCGCCATGGGGCGTTCGTTTACTGTCAGCACCGTTGCCAGAGCGCCGGTGGGCCATCCGGCCTCCGCCCAGGGCCCCAGATGCCCCCGCTGTCCCGCCACGCCCCGCAGCCAGAGGACCACGTGACCCCGTCAGTGCCAAGCCCCTTGGTGGTGTTCACTCTCAGTTTGCGCAGTTTCGGGGCGACGTCTTGCATTTGTCCACAGAGACCGCGGCGTTGTCTGCCTGGGCAGAACTCGTGGACACCGCTCGTGAGATCCTACAAGCCGGTTGGGAGCAGAGCGCGATTCCAACATATACCAAGGCCTTGACGGTTCATGTGCACGGCTTTGGGGTGCAAGTGGACTCGTCGATCCTCCCCCTGAATTCCCCAGACAAGCTCATGTTCTTGTTCGCCTTCATGGACGACATGGTCTGAGCAACGATCAGACTTAATTAGGCGGCTGTCAGGGCGTGACACACGAGCAACAACTACAGCCAGGTGTTCGACGAGTGCCGGGACGATCGGGCGTCGCATTTTTGGCGAGGCCTGAAGACGCGGGCGTCTCGCGCATCGCACCAGAAGCGTGCGATATCCGCGGAAGAGTGGGCGCAGTTCTCTGCGTCCAGATCTGCCGCAGGCACGCCGGCAGGGCGCAGAGATGCAGTTTTAGCATTAGTTTGTTTCTTCGGCCCGCGCCGTGTGTCGGAGGCGCTCAGTCTCCGTGCCGAGGACGTGCACTTCAATGCCGCGTGCGTGAGCTGTCTCATCCGGAAAAAGAGAAAACGACCCGTGCGGCAAAAACCCCTGGCGTGTGTTTCATCCCTTCCGTGCAGATCGCCGGCTTATCGCTGGCCAGAGTAATTCAGGATTGGGCAGAGTGGCGGGCGGCCAACGCGTCGGACTTGTATTTCTTCTTCTGCACCACGACAGGTCCCAGACACCAGCCTGTTAACGCTGACCTGTGGGCAAAACGGTGTCGGCCCATTTTAAGGACCCCGCTACCAGTACACACTCCTGTCGTAGAGGCGTAACGAAGTGGTTCACGCACGTAACAAAATTATCCCCGAACATTGTCAAACGGCAAAGGGGATGGAATCCGGAAGATGTCTTACGCCGACACGTCCCTGGGCACGCTAATGCACTGTTTTCTCGAGAGCGTGGCCTTCTACTCTGCTGAGCAGACGACGCCCAGGCCAAGCAAACGCTTGCGAGGGAAGACGCCCGCCGCGAGAGCGCTCGAACCTCGGGGGGGAGAAACAAAAACAACACACCCACTCACGCCGCTGCGCGGAACATCGCCTCGAGGGGGCCTGCTTTGCGGAGGGTGCCCACAGGGACGAATCCTGGTGGCTCCTTCCCTGGCGGGCTGGGGGTACACTTGCCCCCTTGATGCTGGGGTAAAGCATCTACCAACGTCGTGAGATTGACCCTGTGTAGAGGAGGGCGAAGCCTTTCGGAAAACGGGCGATCTAGAGACGCGGGAGCTTTACACGTCGGGGACGAACAGCGAATGGCCAGCGACAAGTGTGCTGGCCATTCACCGCAGGCGGCCTTGCCTGGCTTCGTCGGCGCCTATTGTGTCGCTGGGTCAAGGCTCGGGGGGTCACGCCCCCGCGGGGCCGAGTGCCTGCCGTTCCTTGGCAGGGCGCTGTACAAAGCGCGGGCCGTCGCAAGGCAGACGGCACTCTACGGGGCCGTTGGGCCTGCCGTTCCGCGACAGGGCGCCGTGCAGGGCGCGCGGCGCACGACCGAACGACGACCGCCGCAGTGCGGCGCGTTTCCTGCGACCGCGCCTTCGCGCTGGCCGCGACGATTACATGCGATTCCCGCCCACCCGCCCGCTCCGCGTCACGACGCGCGCGTGCCGCGGCGAAGGACTAACCTACGGCCGGTGCGCGGCCGCCACCTCCCGCTCCCCGAGGCAGCGGCCAGCACGGAAGTTTTTTTGGGGGTGCTCGCAGGGACGAATCCTGGTGGCTCCTTCTCTGGTGGGCTGGGGGTACACTTGCCCCCTTAATGCTGGGGTAGAACATCTACCAACGTCGTGAGATCCTCCCTACCCGCGCAGCTCTGACACGACGGTGGTATCCCACCATAGGCAGGTGTGGGGTCACCCGACAAAAGCCCTGGGTAGCAGCCCCAGGACTGCCGTTTGTTATCCATTGCATCTGGCCAGCCTCCAACACTACAGGCCAGCCACGCGGCCAGACGATCGAACTATCACTACATCATGCTCTGTGTTACGTACTAATAAAAAGGTTGGGGGGTAGCCTACAAAACCCTGGGTAGCAGCCCTAGGGTTGTTTAAAACAACTCGCGTACACATATCCCTTGTCCTCTTTCCTCC